CGTGGGTGGTGGGTATCGTTGGCTAAATGGTGTCACGTAGATCATTAAAGGCAGAAAGAGAGAAAAAAGAAGTCTTCTCGGTGGCCACCTTTTTTATTTTTATTTTTGCTTATCGAAACAGCAGCGATAACGACAGAAAAGGCGATGGTCTTTTGTGGTCTTGACGTGACGTGGATGATTCCCACGCTGTTGGCTGTGCGGGTTGCTTTCTGCGTGTGAATGCGTTTTCGTTTTCTTTTCATGTACAATTGTGTTCACTATATATATATATATATATATATATATATATATTTATTTATTTATTTATTTATTTACATTCGCTTTGCTGTTTTCCTCTTTCTTTTTTTTTCTCTCCTCTTTTTATTGTGCAAATTCTGACAAAGTCCGAAGAGGATCGTTTACACCGACGTGTTGTGCTGCGTTTCTTTTTTGTTTTTCCTTTCTTCTTCGTTACTGTTATTATCTGTGTGTCCTTGCCAATTCCGTGCTTCCTAATTCACAAGAATCGCACTGTCACGTATGGGGTGGAAAAAAAAAGGAAGACGTGGTGGGTGGTGGAACACACAACGAACTGCCGAAGAGATGAGCATGCGCAGCGAGATTTTGGCTGGTACGGAATCTAGCAATTGAAATGAAGAAACAAACGATGCGGTATGCTCTCGCGCGCTAACTTGCCTTTTGTATCAAGTTAGCAAACAGCTGTAAACAGCGGTGTCTTAGGTGTCTTCATGGTAGTCCCATTCGTGAGTGTTCTCGCGAGATGTGCGGACATTCAGTTTTTAATTTCGCCGAGTGCAACCGCGCTGGCCCACACCTACGCCGTTCGAAGTGAATCCGTGCGTTGAACAGCTTTTTCGTTGCGCAGAGAACCACCAAAGAACCTCCACCTGCAATGCACCGCCCCTGCTTTATGCTTTCTTCTTCTCTTCCAAAACGTATGTTTGTTTTCACAGCTTTCGTTTTAACAGGCGTTTCCCAGATTCGCTTTGTACGGTACATCGTTTGGTTTCCGAAAAGGGTGCGACCCCCCCCCCCGCCTATTTAAAACCTACTTTTGTGGGTTTATTAGCATCATCATGTTTGCCCGCTCCGCCGTTCGTTCGTTCGAGAAAGAGTCGCTTCTCCGCAGCGTTCCTCGGCGTGCCTTTGCGGCGGTACTGCGGCGGTCCGCGACGACAACCGTCGCTGCTAACCCCATCGCTGCCACTGCGGTTGCTGCCCCACTTACTCTCTGCGCGACGAAACGTTTTGAAAACACCACATCCGGCGTTGCGGGCGCCTCCGGTGACGATCGCAGCACGCAGCTGAACGATCTAATGGATTCATTTGGCGAGGCGCGTGAGCTGATCAAGGATGCCTCGGAGAGCGTGGGCACCACGTACTTCGCCGATGACATGGCGGATGCGGAGACACAGGTAAAAGATGTGCTGAAACGCTGGGCCGACGTGCAGGCGCTTTTGGAGAAGTCAGGCAAGACGGCGGAGCTGCAGAAATTGCGTAACATGCACGAGCTCAAGATGAAGCAGATGGAGGCGGAGTTGGAGACGGTGCGCGAGGCCGGGGGCTCTGGATAAGAAGATGACGTGGCAGCGTTTCTGTCTATATATCGCTCTCTGTGAGCAGACACGTGTGTGCGTCAAGGGGTGGCTTGTACTGCAGTGACGTCCTTCGGTGGGTGTGTAGAAGCGGTCACGGCATTGCTGACGTCATATGGGCTGTTTGGTGCCTTGGAGTTTTGTTTTTGTTTTGAACTTATGCAGCAGCTTCCAAAGCTGATTTTATACTCTCCTTGCTACACATATATTTCCTTGTTTTATCAATATTGCCACCGCTGTGGTTTCCACCACTATCACAGAGCGAGGGAGCCGCCCAACACCCACCGTGGCGGCGCGTTCAACCATGCATCCTACATTTGGTGTTTTATCGTTCACACGTACAGCCGGAAGCGAAGAAAACAAAGAAAGTGAAGTGCAATCCACTGACTTCGTTCGCGAAAGAAAAACGCCATGAAGGGGACAACACAATGGCCTGAAGTTGTGCACAGCAAGATGATATTTGAATAACAGGATAGCGTATGTGCTACCGCTACTCGTCAAGATCGATAGTGTTTGCGAACGCCGAACGGAATTCTTCAGCTCTTCAAACACTGCTTCCTCCGTTTTTTTCTTCTTCTGAGTCAAAACGCTCTTCCTCCTCGGCGGAATCCGTCTTCACTTCGGCGATTTGCGTAGGTATGGTTTCAACTGGCGTCATCCCCTTTTCCGGTCCTCTTCGTCTTTCGCTTGGACACCACCAGCTTCTGTCGTACGCGGTGGACCTTTTTTTTTCCTGGCTTGATTTGTTTACGTAGGGTAGTCGCTCTCTTTCAGCAGATGGGCGTTCCCGACTTCGTCAAGTACATCGCCCGCTCCTCGCCGGGGGCGCTGTGCCGCTTACCCAAAGGCGACTCCGCCGACCCGCTCGTCTTCGACTTTGTCCTCGTTGATGCCACGAACGCCGCCCAGACGCTTGGCCTCGAGAACCTTCTTGCCTTCTTGCACCCGCACCACATTCTCGCACGGCACGCCGTCATTTTTGCCTTGGACTCGCAGCGTGATCGCAGCGGCACGGCGCGGGCGCAGCGCCACACGGTGGTTCGCATCGGCGACCTTGATGTCCAAATACAGAAGCTGTGCAGCCAACTCGCGGAGGTGTACCGCACCCACAACAACCGCCACCGTAGCAGCACGCAGCGGCCAGTGGCGAGCCCGCACATCCTTACCAGCGGCCGCGGGGTGGCGGGCGAGGCGGACTACAAGCTGCTCGACCTGCAGCGGTCGCTGCTCACCGCCTCCCTTGCAGCTGGGGCGACAGTTCTGCCCAACTTCCTGTTTGTCTCGGAGGACTCGGATGTGCTGTGCGGGGCCCTCTGCGGCCCCGCACCGCAGCAAGTGTCCATCGCCACGCAACTGCAGGACGTGCTGTACGAGCCCTCCATTCTCCGCTTGGATCGCGTGCTCGCTTTCATCGCGACATGCACGGATGCGTTCTACGCCGAGAACGAGCGCGAGGCGGCGGCGGTGGCGGCAGCGAAGGTAAAGGAGGCTGCGGAGCGCAACGCCGCGAAGGCGAAACTGGCGCCCCCGGCTTCCAATACTGGGGCGTCAAACAGGAACAGCGAGGTCCACGCGAAGCAAGGGCTGAATGCTGGAAAGGAGGAGGAAGAAGGGGAAGAAGTGGAGCTCTCCGTGAAGGACACTGCTGTCGTGCCACGACCGGCGGAGGTGGACGTTGTGCGTCGCCGCAAGCAGGATGGACCGATGGTGGCCACCGGCGTGCGTGTGGAGCTCACCGACAGCAGCGACGATGACGAGCCGGAGGAGAAGACGCCAAAGAAGACTGTTACAGTGGCCGATGATCGTAGAAATCAAAAGGAGGATAAACAGGTTCGCATGAAGACGGTGCCTATTAGTGAGACTTCTGGGCAGCATGCCGAGAACGGCGTTACTGCTGTTGCTGCGGCGGCGCTGGCGTCAGACCCGATTCCCACCGAGGGGGAACTGACGGTGTCCACCATCACCTACACCAGCTCCGTAGACATGGTCTTCCTATTCGTCATTGTCATGGGCAACACGGTCAACGTGCCGTCCCTGGTGCGTGGTGCGACGAAGGTAGACACCGCCTCGTGCTGGCAGGCGTACTGCAAGCAAAAGTACAAAATTGTTTCGGCCAGCGAGGCCGAGACGGGCCGCGTTCTCCTGAGCACCTCGGTCGACACTCGTTCATCCGACAAAGGCGGGTTTGTCTTGAACTGCGCGTTCCTGCACTCTATTCTCGACTCTGTCCACTACGCCGATGCCGAGGCACGGCCTCCCGGCGAGGAGGAGACGAACCGCGCGCTGACCTATCTGTCCAACGCCGTCTACGCCACGCTACGGTACGTGGTCGGCTGCAACCTGGAGAAGCCCCCGGCGCTTCAGCAGACCTTCCTCGACTCCCGCCCGCTTTCCGAGACGGCACTCATGCTGCCGAGTCTTTCCGCAGTGATGTGGCTTCTGGGGCAGAAGGCGACGCGCACCTTCACCTTCCCGCTGCACGGTCTTGCAAAGAAGGAGCTACTCTCTGTCGCGTCTGGTGGTGCGATGGGGGGTAAGGATACGGTGGGCGGCGGCGCTGCTGCCTTAGCCACTCCGTTGCACAGTGCAACAGCCGCCTCGCCTCTGCGCGGTGCGGCGACGTCGGCGGGCGACTTGCACGTTGGCGATCACCTCGTGGCATCGGTGGCGGCCAACGCCTGGGCGGTCCGCGGCGGCCGCACGAGCGTTGTGTCGCTCGCCACCCTCGCACAAAGCTTCATCAGCAGCAGCGACGTCACGGGCGAGGGACGCGCAGCTACGTCGGCCGGCGTTGCGGTGCGCTCGACTCAGCTGCCCAGCATGACGGAGCTGCTCAAGAAGTGTTTGCAGAGGGTGTGCCCGGCTGTTCTGGCCAAGGCGAACCTACTCGTGTACCTCGTCACGGTGTGGGAGTACGCACTGGGCACTGGGGTGCGGCGCCTTGCAGCGCTAACGAAAGGTGCAGCCCACGTGGCGCGTGCCGAGGGCGGCGACGAGGTCTTCACCGCCGTGCAGGCGGCCTCGTCGGCGGGCAACCCAATGCGCACGGCGGAGAATGCCGCGGCTGCCGTTCGTGCGAAGCACGTCGCGGGGCACTACGTGTACAGCTTTGAACTGCGCCGTATGACACCCGTGATGCGGTCCTCGGACACACCGGCACCCGTACTCGTCAAGGAGGTCACTACACCCGCCGCTGCTTCCGCCACAACAACCTCATCGTCCACATTGTCGCCGGCCAACTCTACCGTTGGCCCCTCTGCCGCGCAGCAAGCTGTCCTTGCCGCGTTGGGCGTCTCCTACGACTACTCCAAGGCCCCTCGTGCCCCGGAGAACGTCGTCAACTTGCCGCACTCGGCCATGGATGACGAGGATAAGGCGGAGCTTCAGCGGCTGAAGAAGGTCGCGAAGAAGGAGCGCGCGCTGACGGCGTCGGCTGCTGCTGCTGCGAAAAAGTCCGCGAAGGACGGTGACACGACGGACGCCGACGCGTCTGGCGAGACGAAGGAGGGGTCTCCCAAAAAAGGACAGAGGAAGAAGGACAAGTCGAAGCAGAAGAAACGGCTTGGCAAGCGTGAGCGGTTGCAGCGGCAGAAGGCGATGGAGAAGTCTGGCGGCGGTGGCGGCCAGAGCAGAGAAGATCGCTCATAGATGATGTAATAGGCTGTGAAAGCGTACGCATTGTGTGCGTTTCTTCCAACGGCGCTGCGTCGTTTACTCGCGAGGCGGCGATGGGTCTTGTGGTGGTTGGTGCGGTACACCCGTGTACACTAATTTTCTAACGTAACTGAAACGAATAAATAGTAACCGTTGTCGGTTTATTTTCTCTCTCTTCTCTTTTCCGGTTTTGCACACGCTCGAGAGAGAAGAGCACGCAGCAGTTTTTTTTTCCCCTTCTGGTGTGTGGGTGTGGGAATAACGCGTTTAACTTTGTAGCAGAAAGACGAAGGAATTCTTACCCCATAAACAGCAAACAACGAGATACCCTTCCTGATAAGAATAAAAAATATAGAATACAATTAAAGCAGACCACTCGCTCAGACTTATTACTAACTGTTTTACAACTGCTGTCACGCAGTCCGTGATGTGTTACTGCTGGCTTGCCGCTGCTCGCGGTAATCCTTTGAGTCGCATAAGTGAACTGGAAAGGTCTGTGACTTCGGTGCACCGGCGCACTGTTCCATTCTTTTTTTTTGTCGGTTTCGTAAAGGCGTGGAAAACGATGCCACTCATGTTTGTGTCTTCCTCTAAACATGAACGCGATCAACGCCATCGCACACCCATCCTCGTTCATTCACGTGGTTTTTTTTTCCTCTGAAACATTTTTGGTTGCTCAGAGTTGTCTCCTTTTTGAAGGATAGATGCTGGAGGCTTGGAAGCCGTGTATACTGCTCATCTCTCTTTTCCGTAGAGCTGCGTTGGCACGCGTTAACCCCATTGGCGTTGTAGTGCGGGTTTGGTCCTCTTCACATTCCGTGTTTACCGTGCACTCTAGAACGGTTTTTGTTCTATTAGATCATCGTACGACGAACGCGTGCCTCCTTTCATTTCGAGGGCTAGGACGGTGATTATTTATTCCCTGCAGCGCTCCCTCCTTTTTGCGGTGCCGCACCCACCACTCCCGAGTCAAAAGCACGCCCACCGACTATCGTCATGTTCGCCAAATTGAAAGAGAGCATTGGGAAGGCGGGGAAAGGAGTGAAGGGCGGGATTGAGAAGGCGGGCCACAGCATCAAAAAAGGCGTCGAGGAGGCCAACCGCAGCTTGACACAATCCAGAAGTCACCACTCCTCTCCTGAGAAAAAGAAGAGCGGTCTCAAGTCGTCCGCCGCCACGACGCACGACAACAAGAGCGAGAAGGCCCACACCACGGCGGCCTCCGAGAGAAAGTCGGAGCAAGCGTCCACCTCAGCTGCTCCGGCAACGACGACGACGGCGGCCGCCTCGGCGCAGGCATCGCGTCCCTCCTCCGTCCACTCTGACAAGTCATCGAAGGCGTCGTTGCCGGATACGGCCACGTTTGCCGAGACGGCCGCTGGCCCGCGCTCGCGTACCGGCACCCCCACTCCCCGTCCTCCGCCTCCCCCTCCACCGCAGCACCGAGGCACACCAAAGCGGGCTAACAGCAAAACACCCGTTGAGACTCCTCCCGCGGCACCAGCAGCAGCGGCGGCAACACCAGCCGTGGTGGAGGAAGCGTCGAAACTGTCGCGAGCCCCGTCGACGGCGTCCGCCAACTCGCTGCACTTAACGGACGGCGACGAGGCGGAGACGCCTGGCTCGATTCGCTTCACCGTAGAGCCTGGATCTGCCGTGAAGGAATCCACACCACGGAAAGCAGCACAAGTAGAGGAGGTCAAAGAGGACAACGACGACGACGGTGAAGAAGGCAAGACGGCCGACCTCACCACGGAGGGATCACTGGACATTGCGGTGGAGGAGGACGATGATACGCAATCGAGAACGGAGGATGTAATGGAGAAGGTGAAGGCAGAACCCGCAGGGACGAAGAAGAGCACAAAAGAGACCTCCCAGAAGGCGCCTCCCATGACCTCAGGGGCCACAAGCACTGGCAAGTCGGGCAAGATCGCAAAAGAGGAAGTTGGAGAAGCGGATGGACACGGCACCAAGGGTGGCAAGGAACGCACAAACGGTACATCAAAGCCATCCAAGGCTTCCACAGCAACCCCAGCGACAACGGAAGAAGGAAAAGGCGGTGCGAAGGATGCGAAGGTGAAGAGTGGTACCCTGAGGAAGGCAACTCCGCTGCACACACGAGTTGCTGGCAGCCGCAACGGCGGCAACGCAACGCGGGCGCCAAAGAAGCCTCCTTTTTCGAGCAGGGGCGGAGGAGGTGAAACGAACGTGCGCTTCGCCGAGGACGAGCTTGAGCGCCCCGTGGAGAAAAAGATAGGCAAGGACGAAAAGAAACAGCGGCACCGCAACGGCTCCCGTCCCGTTGACGGTGTGGAGGAGGAGGATGACGCATCTGACAAGCCTGAAGCTGCTCATGCCGCCTCCGCTTCTCACAGCCGCAACCGTTCCAGTAGTTCCAGCCTCGATGGTGAGGGGAAGAGGGTGGATGCTGCGGGGGAGGAGAGCCAGCGGCAGCGGCGTGGCTTTCGCCTGAGTCCCGCGAAGGACGACGGGAGTGAGACTGACGGGAGTGGCAGCGAAGAACGCACCGGCAACGACGTGAGGGAGCGCGGCAAAGCGAGGAAGTCGACCGCGGAACTTCGCCACTGCAAAGAGCGGCCGTCGTCCCGCGACATTTCTCGTGAGAAGCGCCGGGAAGCGCGTCCACGCGATGAAGGCGAGCGCTACAGACCCACGAGCGCTTCCGCAGGGGCGCGGGACCGCACACAGTCGAGGCATTCTTCGCAACCATCGCACCCTCGAGAAAGGCGCAACGATCTTGACGAGGACAGAAACACCTGGCGGCGTCGCCGTGGTGATCGGGAAACGCCATCTTTCACTACACCGACTCGTGCGCAAAGACGCGGGTCAACGCACCGCCTCTCGCTGCGTGCGATGGACGGCGGCGCGCTTGTAGAGGAGTGTCTACGGGACACGGAGAACTACGCACGTGGCTCCGAGCGCCGCCGCCGCAACTCGCCCCGATCGTCGTCCCGTGGCCACCACGACGGGGAAACGGTGCAGCGCCGCTCCGCCATGCAGACCACCTACCAACTGGACTACCCCGACTGGTCAAGGTACCGTGACGAGAGCAGCGAGGGCGATGACGATGCCTTTCTGGTTCGTGTTGGCGGTGTGTCCTCGCGTCATGCGGGGAGCAGCCGACGCTCGCCTCCGGGAAGCGTTCGACGGAGTTCCCCGCTTGCATCGTCATCCTTCCATCGATTATCGTTTTACGACGAGGACGATGCGCTGGCCGCCGAGGCGGTGTCGGAGCCGGAACGGTTTCGTGCGCACTCCGCCGCCCGCCGTCACAGCCGCAGTGGACGGCGGCACGACGGGTACGGGTCTGGCGGGGAGGAGGCGGTGCCGCGTCGTGTCGGTGGCTCTCGATCGCCCTCCTCTTCCGTCCACTCGGTGGAAGAAGACGACTGGTACGGCAGGAGCGGCGGTGGATGGCACGAACGCCAGCGAGCCTACGGCGTGGCCAGGCAGCGTCCTCGCCAGCGCAGCGGCGACTACGCACCGCCGCACGACGCCTCCTCCCATGGAAGCGAGCGCAATGCGACCCACGTCGGCGGCGTTCGTCACCGGTACGACCCCCCTCGTCCTCGCAGCGCGTCCCGCGCCTCCTCCGAGCGACGACGAAGCTCCGTGGGCCGCGCAGAAGACGGCCGACTTTACGGGTCGTGGCGCCAACTCACGGAGGAGAGAGACGACCCGGACTACTACTTCTCCGACGCGCCGCGGAAGCGGCAGAATGGTGGGTCTTGGCGCTCGCGCAGTCGCGGCGGCGCCTTCGCCCCCTCCCCGCCACGAAGTCCGCTATGGGCGCACCGCAGCTCCTTTGGACGGGCCGCGTTGGGTGTCAGCCCTAATTTAGAGCGCCTGCAACCGGTGCAAAGAGGCGGCAGCAGCGCGGTTCTCTCACCGCTGCGGGGTCGTCGGGCAGGCAGTGCTCGTCGGCCAAACGACAAAAGTGCGTCGCATAACACCAGCGCGCTGCGCACCTCGCACAGCCGCCCGGCCTCCGCCCGCTCCGAAGAGGAGATACTGGAAGAGGTAGAGTGGAAGCTGGACGCGCTTGGTCAGCAGATTGTTGAGGAAGATAAAGTGCGAGAGCGCGCGATGATGCGCAGTCCCTTTCAGCGTTTGTACCACCTCAACAACCGCCGCGACCGCGATGAGCGGCGCGAGAAGGTGTTCCAACTCAACCGCCTCGAGCGCATTCGCGACCGCATCGTGTCTGGCTCCCTCGAGGAGGACATCGTCCGCAGAGAGGAGCGGCTGCGGAGGCAAGAGGAGATGCTGACGAACCCGAATGGGGTATTTTTGCGATTGTACCAAAACACCTCAGGTCGCCGCTCGCAAACCGGGCAGTCCACCGTGAACGCGAGCAACAGTCGACACAGCACGCCGCATGAATCCACCATGAATGCCGGTGCTGCTGCGGCGGCCGGCGCTGCAAGCCCCAACGCCACTGGTGTGAGTAAAGCATCCAATCGTCCCGGCTCAGCGACCCGACGCACCCTTAGCAAGGCGCAGCGCCTCGCCATGTGCGATCGCCTCTACGGCGGGGCGTTGGCGGGGGTAAACCGAAAGGAAGAGCGCATGAAGCAGAGCGTGGAGGAGCGCCGCCAGCGGGAGGTGGAGGAGCTGCTCATTGCTCGGCTCGTCGCGCAGCTGCAATTGCAGCACGCCCAGATGCACCCCCGAGAGAAGAAAGCGCCACAGACGTTGGCCGAGTTGGAGCAGGAGGCACGCGGCGAGTTAGATAAGATGCGTCGCGAGGACCCGAAGGGCTACGAGGACAAGCTGCTGCGCGGCCGTGTGCTGACCACGAAGGAGCAAACCCTCATGTCGAAACGGCTGTGGATGCACGGCTACGTGTCGAAGGAGAAGCTGGAAGCTCGCAAAGAGCGTGATGAGCTGCGCGGCTGCACCTTCCAGCCGGAGGTGAACGACTATGACGCCTTTTACCGGGTTAAAACGAAACGGGGGGACACGAGCGACGGGGAGCAGAGTGTGGGGGAGTCGGAGCAGCAGGACGTTGCCTCGGATGACACGGAGCACCAAGCGCGCCGGAAAGAGGTGGATCGCTGCAAGGAGCTGTATCGCAAAGGGATGAAAGCCAAGGCACACGAAGCGGAGCTGCGCGACGAGCGCGACCGCGAGACCCGCTTAAAGATTCTGCGCGGTCGTATGGCGAGCGACCATCACTTTAGACGCCGCGTCGAGCTCGATCCATCTCTGGCGGAGCGTTTCTTGAAGTCTCTTGTCGTGTGATGCACCTTAAACAACCGCTTTTCCTCTTCACGTTCGAGTGCCGGTTCTTTCTTTTTCTCTTCACTCGGGACAACGACGGCTGTCTTGGGCGCAGCCATCAGCTTCATACTTTTTTTTCCTGTTGTTGTTGCTGAAGTGCGTTTTTCCTTTTTACGTGACGCGCGGTAGCGACCGTTGTCGCTTACGCATCGCACGCGCAACTCAAAACGAGTCCATTTTTTGTTTGTTCTCTCTACTAGACACACATCTTAGACGTCTTCTTTCTTCTCTATTTGTGAACGGGTTATTGAATCATCTGCATTCCTCGTTGCTCTTCACTTTGCCGCTGCTATTCTGGCGTATGCTGTCTGTTTCGTGTAAGCTCAGCAATGCAATCATAGATGAGAGGGAGGGAGCACACAAGTTAGGTGAAGTGGGCTTCTCTCGTAGAGAAGAAAGAAACGACGTGCGTTGGCCTGCAAACGTACCCGCTCATAGGGTGTGAAGTGATTCAGCAGCACGCTGTACTTTCGACACGTGTTGCTTCGTCAAGCGAATGGCCCTCGCAAAACGGTCATGCTCGCAGGTTGTAAACAGCATGTAGTCCTTCCGTTAGTTCGAGTTGCCCATCGTTACATGAAGCGTTTCTTGTGCTGCTCCTTTGCGCTTTTTCCTCCGCCTTTCATTTTTTCCCCTTTCTGCCAATTGAGGCTTCCATTACCGGCGGCATCGCAGCCGACCTTGACTTGTCAAGACATTTTCTGGCTTGGCTTTCGAGATCCTATTTGCCTGCTTACTGCGCGATGCTCCGCCTTCTTTCTTGCCGATGCCGGCTGCAAAGGGCTGTACGACAGTCGTACATGGCGACGGCAACCCGAGAAGTGGTACGTGGCAACGCTACCACCGGAGGCGGCAATGCGACCACACCCACTTGCCCGGTTTCATCCACCAGTGCCAGCCCTCCACGCGTTTCTGGCGGCCCACGCCAGCTTCCTCAGCACCCGATGGAGCTGCTTTCGCACGTCTTCCAGCACCACCCGTCCGCGCTTCGACTCCACCGTGAGCTGACAGTGGCTCTTGCGAGTGGCGATGCGGCCTGTGCGGCGGACCTCGCAAGCGTGCTCGCGAGCACAGTGCAGCGGGTGGTCGCAGCTCAGGAAACGACGTGTGCCTCTCCTTCGAGTGCTTCTAGTGGGTATAACCGTATGGGTGAGGTACCTACCGTTACGGGCAGCCGTGGCGACAACGACGAGAACAGCGATGCGCAGACAAACTCCGCAGAGGGAGTTCCCCCTCCCTCCCCGGATGATGTAGAAGAGGCAGTGGAAAAGACACGTGAGGCTGTCTTGCAACGAGTTACCCTCTCCCCTGCCGGCAACAGCGCACTGACGTCGCAGGGTAGCGGTGTTTCTGTGCACAAGGGGGCGCAGGCGTTACCGTTCTGGCGTGATCCACGGTGCCTCTGCGTCACCGTGTTGGAGTCCGCCTTTGAGACGGACGTGCCGGATGGAGAGGCGCAGGGCTCGCTGAGCGCTGCCGGCAACCGTGCCGCCGTCCACGAAGCGGAGCAGATGCGCATACTGGAGACGTATCTGGAAAAGGAAGGGACTCGGTGGAAAGCGCAGAAGGCCGCGATTGCGAAGATCGTCTTGGAGGTTGCGAGAGCGTTGAAGATAGCACCGGAAGACTTGCAAGCAACGGAGGGCGTGACCTCGACGAGCTCGATGACACACAATGTGGAAGAAAGAGAAAGAAGAAACAGCAGCAACACCGGCAGTTCAAGTGGTAGGCGTTTGAACGTGCTGCGACATAGCAATCTCGTGGTTCGTGGCGAGATACCGCCTGCGGCAGCAACGTCGGCCACAGCACCTGCTGAGAAGGACGGCGTGGAGGCGCAGCTGGCAGCGTTGACGGAACGAATGAAAGACCTCGGCACGCCGCTTACGCGTGAAGAAGTTCGGATGGCCCGCTACGAGCTTCAAATGTCGCAGTCGAAGATGCGCTACGTGGTGGGGATCCACACGGAGTTACAGCACGCGCTAGACCACAGTGAGTCTGTCCGACAAGCCTTGCGGAAGCGCGTGGCGGACATGGGCCCCAAGTCCGCCGGTGCTGCTTCTCCTCCTTTTCTCGCTACAGGGTCGCAGCTGTTCATGGAAGAGCTGATACGAGCATTGAACGAAGGAGTGGAGGCGTTTAGCACCAAGGCCACGGAGCAGAAGATGCCGTTGTCGGTGGAGGACGTGCGAGCGCGCGAGGTGGCCGAAAGTCCAGTCCTACCGTTTACCTTCATGCTGAAGTGCTGCCTGTGGTTTGACACGACTCCACCATCGTAGCCAGCGTGCAGGATAAAAATGAGGCTTTGGCGACACATCCCCTCCGTTCACGACAAAGGTGCGATGCGTGGAGGTGGCGCTGTTTTTTTTCTTTCTTGCTCTTCTCCGCACCGTTGCGGACTTACAACGCGTTGGTCACACTACTAACTTAAACTGCCAGTTTCTAAAAAGAGCGAACAAGGGAGAGGTTCATCGTTTACAAGGCCCCAGCATAGTCTAGAGAATTTGGGTTTTGTGAGGCGATTCGCTTTGTGTCGGTGCGAAGGAGGGAAGCGGTTTGCAGGTTCTGTGCTTTTGCCGTGTTGCATCCTTGTGGTCTTCCGAAAGACCTTTTTTTTTTCTCTTTTCTTAAATGTCTTCTCCTCCTTCATTCCCCTTTGCCCGCTCTTCTTTGCTGTATGTAAACATTCCTTTTCTTTTTTCCCCTTTCCCTTTTCTTGCAGAGAAGGCCCTGGAAGCAAACGAACGTGTTTTTTTTCCTTTCTAGTGGAACAACGCAGTGGTGGTCGACTGCGTTTTTTTTTTGCTTTGTCACTGTTGTTGTTCGCTCCAGTGCGGCAACCAGATAGTCCTGTACACCTTCTTCGCCCCACAACAACACCCCCAAAAGCCTCTCGACGCGCAAAATGCCCGGGGATGGCAGCGAGAGCGCTCTCTCGGGGCTTCGCCTCTACGAAGGCTTGGTCAAATCGCCCAACTCCCCGCGCGCATCGATCAGCAGCTACTCTTCGTTCCCGTCTTCCACGCCAAACCACGCAGCGATGACCCCCAGGGATTCAATAGCTATGAAAAGTGAAGCTTCGGGTTTTCTTTCATCCCGAAGGACGACGTTAACCTCCATCGCAGACTCCGACTCGTCGCCCTTCTCACCGAGACGGGATTCGCTGCAGCCCGTCTCTAGCTTCTCCACGACACCGTCCCCGAAAGCAGACGCCGCCGCCGACGGTGTAAAGTTTGTGGACGAGAGCAAGGCTGCATCTGGCAAGCGCAAACGCGCGACCCGTGCGACTCCCATACGTCTTGTGAGCGGCATGCAGGGCACGGTGCTACCGGAGCACCACGGCGCACTGCCCAAGATGGGTCACACGGCCGTTTGCTACCAGCAGGGTGTGTACGTGTTTGGTGGCGTGAATACGAAAGGGCAGTACAGCAACCACGTCTTCTGTCATGAGAAGCGAAACCTGTCCTGGCATGAAATACGCGGTGTCGGTGTGGTGCCACGCGGGCGCGCCAACCACGCCGCCGTCCTCATCGAAAGTAAGATCTACGTCTTTGGCGGGCACCGACAGCTGGAGGTGTTCGACGATCTGTTTGCCTACGATATCGTAACAAGCAGGTGGGAGAAGATCAGCTACGAGCAGACGCAGGGTCCTGGTGGCGTCTTCCTTCACTGCATGGTCCATGTCCCCTCATCGGACAGCCTCTTCGTTGTGGGTGGTGTGCACCATCGCGAGCAGAACAGCTACCTCGGTCACTTGTTCGACATCCGCAATCGTGTATGGAGCGGCGTGCCGCCGCCGCCCGCGGTGGACCCGCAGCACCTGCAGCTGGTCGCCGGCGCGTATCACGAGCCCAGCAACTGCGTGGTGGTGCTCGGCTTAGAGGAGAGAGACGTCATGAAGTCAGACTACGTGGCTGTCCCCTACGTCTACCTCTTCCAACCGCAGTCCTTTGCGTGGCGGCGGGTGGAGACGCCGACGGCGCCGGAGAGCCCGTTGCCCTTCCGCATCGGGACGCTGTGGGAGCGTTTTCTCCACCTACTCATCACCTCCGGCGGCGGCTTCTACGACTCCGTATTGCAGGAATGGATGTTCCCGTTCCCGCTTTCGTCATCGCCCAAGCCTGCCGCGGCCGCAGCGCCGGGAACGCAGAAGAAGACTGCCCCACCCCTACCAGCGCTGCCCCCGCCCCCGACGAACAAGCTAGGATTCTTGGTGCTGAACTTACGCGAGATGTCCTGGTCGCTCGTGCTGTGCAAGTTTCCGCGCAAGCTCCTCGCCGAGGTGAAGATGTACAACGCCGCCGAGCGTCGCAAGGAGGAGCGAAACACTTCGCGTGGCAACGGCGGCGTCAACCCTTTATCTCCGCAGGCGAACCGCTCCTCCTCCTTTACCCGGGCCAACCGAAGCGAAAGCGGCGTGCTGAACATCTCGGGGCTGGCTCGTGCGATGGCTCCGAACAACAGCGTTGCCGGCGTGTTTGGGCAGCGCCTCCCTCGCCGCAACTTAAGTTCGTCCTCTTCACAGGGCGTGACGTGGGGGGAGGACGCCGATGTCAGCTTAGTCAGCGGTGGCACCGCGGGTGCTGGTAGAAGAAGCGGCGATGCGGATGCGCTCTACCCCGGCGGGGACCGCTATCGTCGCATCATTAACTTCCAAGACGTGCCTGAGTTTACGCGGAAGTTTGTGCTGGTTGCGGTGCGCGATGCGCCTCTCAGGAACGGTAAGCTGCGGCCGATCCAGTACATTGTACTCCATGGGGGGCTGGTGGAGCAGCGGGACTACTCAATGCTCGCCTTCAAGCCGAAGCTGACCCGCGTGGACGCGCTGGCCGCGACGAAGCAGAACGGGCAGATAACCGGGCTGGTCCAGAAATCGTCCTACCGCGCCCTGCGCGGAACGCGTAACAGCATCACCAGCGGGCCTATCGACGGCGAGGAGATGAACGACGAGTGCAACAGCAATGCCTTTACACCGACAACCGACGCGGAGTTCTTCAGCGAACTCTTTCAAGACAGCACAGGAGGAGCTGGTGGCGGTGCAGCTGGTGCGCAGAAGAGGTTCGGCGATGCCGGCAGGCCGAGCTACGTGAGCATGGAGGACGCAGAGATCGACGCCTTCTCGCAGACGTTCCGCAACAGCGCTAGTGACGAGGAGCTTGGGCAGAACCTCGGCAACCTCGAAGACGGCGGCGCCCAGCTGCAGCGCACCTCACTCTTGCCGACGCTGCCCAGCGCCCGCACTCAGCGCAACGCCCACCGCTTTGCCCTCCAGTACACCGCTGAGAACGCGGTGCACACAGAGAGTCTGCTGCCCTACGCCAACATACCCGTCGCGGTGCTGCAGTCCTCACACGACGTGTACAAGTGGTCCAAGAACTACTACAGCTATCAGCGGCGTTGGCTCTCGGAGAAGCTGCGGGACGCGCTGTCGGAAGATCGCAAGCTGCGGCGGCTGCGCCGGGCCGCCAACGCGCGCAGCGGGCGGCCGACTTCCGCGGGCGGCAGCAGTGCCGCCCGGGCCTCCCGCAACTCCATGCAGTCCGACGTCAGCCTCGACGATTCAGACTCCCTCATGGAGTCGTTGTACATGTGCGAGTCCGTGACAACCCTGGCGCGCGGCGGTAAGTCGACGAAGAAGAAGCGCTCGACCATACAAGCCTTTGAGGACCAACTGGCGATGGAGGCGGCTGCCGCGGCGGTGGAGAACCAAGAGGCCCCGAAGCGCCGCGTTCAGGACTTCTTCGAGGAGCGCCACCTGGAGCCTTTTGTAGCCGAAGATGTGGCGCAGTTAACACGTTTGAGCTACGACGCCTCCACCATGCCGGACGAACGTGTCAAGACGAAGAAGCTCAAGAGGAAGCAGAGCATGTCAACGGACGCGTCCAGGTCGAAGAAATCCAAGGCCGCATCTGACGTCGGTGCAGCAGGCTCCAAAAGAAGAGGCTCCAAGGCCGGTGCACCTTCAGCGGCGTCCCACGCGCCAGCTGCTGTCGCGGCGGCACGGCCACCAAATGCGCTTGCGCCTATCGTGTGCCAGTCCATTGCCTCCCGGGTGAGCTTTGAGCGTTTCAGTATGGTGCCCAAGCGCCGTAGCGGACGCGAGCGCTGCAGCTCGGTTGGCTGTCCGGTTGTGAGCGACGGTGGCCACAACGAAGTTGCCCGCAACGTCTCTCAGTTGTTGATGCACAACGCACTTGACCGCTTTCGCACCGACGACGACAGCGTCGAGACACGGAGCCGAAAGGCGCGGCTGCGGTGGCGCTTTCTGCGGGCCCTGGTGTGCACCGGAGAGGCGTCGTACGTGATGTATTTGGCAAGCCAGGCGCAGTTCAAGATGAAGGGCATCACGGTGTCTAGCACACCGGGGCTTGTGTTGGCACCAGAGCTGCATTTGGTGGGGCCCTCGCAGGCGTACAGAGTGCCGTCTAAACCGGTCCCCTACAAGGTGTCGAACTCGTCCGGCACCGCACAGGCGCCCCCTCCGACATCCGCTTCCGCTGCCCGTTTCACCCAAGTGACGAACTCTGGCATGGTGGTGTACCACTCGCTTTGCTGAGAAGCAGGAAAGTAAAAAAAGAGGCTAAAAAAAAACCACCGAGCGGTGTTGCCTCGTGTGCTTTTCTTTCCACCCCTTTATGTTCTTGCCTTTTTTTTTGGCTTTGACTCAATGTACAGTATGAAAAAAGAAATTTATATCTTTTGTTATTGTTCTGGAAATACTTGAACGCCCTTCTTGGTTTTTCTTTTCATGCTGCTCTTCGTCGCCGCTGCGGTCGATGCCACAACACAGAGCACGAGCTTGTTTTGTTGCAACGAGCCACAGTAACTCCCGTTTGTGCACCGAGAGGCAATATTTGGAAAATCAACCCAAAGATAACAACAACAACGAAGCATCACTCCCATTGATTATCTACGCCGTGCCTCGTCATCTTGCAGCTGCACCATCATAAGATCTCTGATGTATCTGGCACTGTTTCACGGCCCTGCCGGTGTGGAAGTACGTGTTGCAAACGTCACCAACCTCACTCACTGCCGCGTCTTTCGCCGCCCCCCCCCCCACCCCCGCCCTCTCTCTTTCTCTTTTTCTTTTCTTCTCATATTGCAAGGGCGAAGATGGGAAGAAGCCACGGAATATCTAAACGAGCTTTATGACGGCTGTGGTCACCCGCTTGTGTGTGTGTGTGTGTGCACATTTGTCAACTTCTTCTCTCTATCTCTCTGTTTTTCTCGTTTTGCCTTCTCTTTTCCTCCTTGTGAAACAGGAAAAGAAGTTCCAAGACAATGAAGTTTGCGAGTAGTTCTCACACGAAAGGTCTCATTGAATTGTTGTCGACAGAGGTGCACACACACGCGCGCGAGTCTTCACCAACTCACCGCTACACCAACATAGCCTTTCTTTTTTATTTTGTACTCCTCTTCGTTGTAAAAGAAGATCCTTTCCTCTCTATTCATTAGCGCGATGCTTTGCTGGATTCCTTGCTTTTGTTTCCTCCAATTTTTGTTTACCTCTGCGTATCGTGCACCAGAGTCTCTTCGCGTTTTCGCAGTGTTCTCTCCTTTTTGTTTGTACGAAAACACTCTTTTATGCAGCACCAAGCATCGTTCCTTGTAGAAAGCTGTTCTCTTTTTTTTGGAAATGATTTTTTGTTTCCTTCATCATTGACGTACCACCACAATTGACGCACACAGAGTTGCTTTTGCATATAGTTTTTCCGTTTCTTCTCCTCCACGCGAGCGCCTCTGTTTCTCACATTTTCTTTTTCCTGTTTGCTCTTTCTTACTTCATTATACCCAATAGACGTGCCTTCAGCGGTGCAGCCAAGTCCGTCCACACTCACTTAACGGCCAAGACCACGGCACTGAAGATGCTGAATGCGAAGCCTCCCTCTCCAAAACCTCCCCTACACCCCGAAAGCTGCGAAGGTGCGCCGAATGTTAAGCAACAGGGATATGAAAGAGGTCCATCCACCACTACTTCTTCTTCTACGATTCCCAGCGCAACGCCAGACATGCCACAACACGGGGCCCCAGACGGTACTCGTGTCACGGCCGCTAACCCACCCCTTTCCGCCGCGTCGCAGCTAAATGCGACACCCGAGTCGCCGCCGCCGCGGCCGTCGTGGGAGATGCGTCTGGCCGCCCTGCGTCAGCGCCGTAGAATCGTGAACGCGGAGCGAAAACCCCAGAGCGACATCGCGGCCGCTGCTGCGGATGATGACGGTGCTACGGCCGCCGTTTCCAGCAGCTCTTCGCTGGCCGAGGAGCGAGGCGGAGACGCTGACAACGAGGTGGAGCGGGCACGGCAGCAGCCACAGGTGTTCGTTCAACACAGCAAGTTCTCCGTCTCCCCGTTTTCGTCTGTCCTGTCTACCCCAACGAGCGACGACGAAAGCGCTGAGGCCTTTCGTTCTCCCCTGCACGTAGCTCTGGAGGACTCGCCGGTGGCCCCTCCTGCATTCCGTGCAACGGTGGAGTACGTTGCGGACGGGCCGGGTCGGCGCGGTCGTGATGGTGGTGGGGCGGAGGGGGGCAGCGCCGTCGTGCCCATGCCGCGCACGCGAGCCGCCGTTGCGACAGGCGTGCGGCCGCCGGCCTCCCCCGCCCCTTCCGGCACGTCAAGCGTCCCCGCCTCTCCTCCCCCCGCGGCGGTGGTGATGATGGCTGCCGCGGCGTCGCCTGGCGCGGCCAACGTGGCGCGTCCTGCGATGGCGGGCACGCGTCTCTCCTCCCGCCCGGTGCCCTCCATCATGTCCGCTGCCTCCACGGCGACGTTCTCCGAGGAACCGTTTGCGGAGAGATCGTTTGGGGTGTTCTCCTGGCGTGACAGTCCTCCCTCTCGCCCGGTACGCGCGGCTCCCATGCAGCCGGACTCGCACACGTCCGACGAGGAGTCACAATTGGAAGGGATGTACGAGGACGGCGAGGCAGCACAGATGGACTGGTCTGTGGGGACACCTCCACCGGAGTTGTCTGCAGTAGCACCAGCAGGGTCAGGGCCCAACAACAGTGCCTTGGCCCTTGAGAAGAAGAGGGGTGCAAGGGCGGAGGTGACAAAGCAGTTTACGGTGCACACCGCTTTGCTGCAAAAATTGTCCACACCACCGTTGACGTCAGGAGTAGATTCCTCATCGACTTCGCAGACGAATGCGTCCCCCCCAAACATGTCGTCAGAAGTGGCGGTAGAAGTGGCGCAGGAGCCCTACGAGAAGGCAACCTCACTCAGCGGTTCTCTGGTATCTTCCAGCAACGGCGAGGATATCGATGGCAAACGTGCAGCTCCGTTGTCGACCGAAGCGCCACCATACGCTGCGCTGCCTGAACCGTTTCGTCAAGCAATGACAGCCAGGCATTATCCCCAGGAGAAGGGAGTGAGTCACAGAATTGATGCAAAACAGATGCATCCGTCAACTGGAACACAACTTGAACGCAGAGAGGCAAACTTCTCGCCCACGTCTGCGGTTGCCCCGGGCACAGCTACCCTCTCATCTGTGGCCCACCATGAGGGCGACGGAGATAAAACTCAAGACAAAGCTGATGCGAAGAAAAAATGCGCTGGTGGGAATACGCAACCACACAACACGGCTTTGACATCGAAAGGCTCAAGCGAGCCATCAAATACGCGGCCGTCGGCGCCCGCCACCCAGCAGCCGACAGCACCTCTAACTGCTACACAGACACCTTCAGACAGAAAACCTACCTGGGCGCTAAATGGCGAAAGCCCCGCAAAAGGACTATCAGAGAAGAACGTCCCGCTAACGCGTCAGGAGCGTTTGGTGGCTGAGGGAAACGGTGCGAAAGCGAATTTCGCGGATCGAGACAGTCGTGGGAAGCCGTTGGCAGACAAGAAGGGTGAAACGGTTCCTCCAGCACATCCGGTGAGCAACGCGACGGCGACTGAAATGCCGTTTCAAAGGGATGCAAGGGTGGGCAGGACGGTGCCATCTTCGGCACAGACATTTGCATCGCCGCCGCCGCTTACGCAGTTTCGGGTGCCACGTGACGCGGAGGAGCCCGTGTCGAAAAACGCTCCTGCGACCCAGCCTGCGACGCCGCAGGAGATGGCAGCCGCTTCCCGGACACCGCCCACAAAAGGACCTTCTCCCACATCACACGCAAATGCGTACATCGTGCCCGCGAAGGCGGTTCGCAGCGATGCGCAACAGCGACAGTACAGCGATCCGGTCGCCAACCGCGGCAGCGCCCTGCCACCGCTGCCTTCTCTACGTCAGGTCCAAAAGGCACCGACTCTGCGACCTCTTTTGACGCAGCTTGTGTCCCAGGCGATGATGCATGGCGCGGTGCAAGACAGCGGCTCCGCCTCCCCCATCGCACCCGTCTCCCCAGCTACCGACGCGCCGTCTCTCGACCACCAAGTGCGCACCGCCGTTCCCACACCTTCCAATTACACACACCCGGCAACGCCGAGCAGCGATTTACTGTCGTCACCCGTACCGACTTGCCAGCGTCCGCGAGCTCCATCGCCTGGCAACTCTCCAGAGGCGAGGAGGAAGACCGAGTCGCCAAGTCTGCGTTCTTCGTCCTTTCTTCAGCAGCAGCAACAACCGCGTTACCTCGAACCGAATCAGCCAGACTGGCACGCGGCGCTCGTAGCCGGGGTGCGGGTGCACCGTGACAGCCCGCACACTCGTCGCCCGCATTGCCCGTCGCGAGAGCGGTCGCAGACAGGGCGCATCACGTCCGCGTGGAGCTCGCGGTCGCCTGGGGCATGGGATGGGCTCATGTCCTCCGTCTCCGCGGAGCGCGACGCCTCGCTGTTGGCCGAGTCAGCGCTGTCCTCCAGCAGCGGCACGACGTTACGCCGCGCTGGGTCGGCGGCGGCGGACCGCAACGCGTCTTCGACAGCTTCGCGCAGTGCTTCAGTTCGCTCGCTGCTCTCCACTGTTGTGTACCCGATCTTCAATGCCACCTCGGTAGGTCTCAAGTACAACTTGACCGATCCCCCACCTGCTGCTCCGTCTTTGCGCACGGAGTGCACGCAAGTCATCCGTGAAGAGCTTGAGCTGCAGGCGCGCCTTAACAAGTTGAAGGCGGACTCTCTCTGTCGGCGGATAGAGCGCTACCACTAGAAACTATATCCCCAGCGAAGATACGGCACATCACATTTTGAAGTGCAGTCAAGCAACGCAAAAGCGCCAAAGAAAAAGCTGGCTAAAAGCCTGACACAAAGAACACTGTTTCGTATTATTGCAATGTATGCGCGTGTGTGTCTGGGTGTGTGTGTGTGTGTGTGGAGGAAGAGCAAAGAAACTGTATAGATCCTCTTTCAGCTTCATGAAGGTCCAATCTCTGACAGACGCATCGTCCAAGCCGAGCAACTGGCTTTGTTAGGGTACGCTTGAGAACTTCTACGGATATTTCCACAAATACTCATGCCACGCTGAGCTATAGGCTAGCCACACAGCTTTGAGGCCTTTCTAAAGTACTCCATTCACATCATTCTTTTCTTTTCCCTTTCCCTTTCCCTGCGCCGACTTTTTACCTCCCCCCCCCCTCCATTCGTCGCTCTGCGTCATTGCCTCATGTACACAACGACGGCAACAGGTGGCGAAAACGAGAAGCTGAGCCGAACTCTTTTTTTGCTGTCAATTACACATCCACACAAGCACATCGAACCACACAAACATTATGTTCGCGGTTGCAGATCCAGACGCGGTCACAGCCTCCCCACCTGCCGACGCCGCCACCGTAGACTCCCCGCAGCGGACGCGGCAGTACATTCACGACCACAAACTCAACGAACTCTTCGCACACCTGTTACAGCTCGTGCTTTACCACAAACCAGAAAACCCGCGCGTCTTCCTGGCGGATGAAGTGCACCGGATTCGCAGTGAAAAGGTCTCCTCGTCGCTCTTTACCGAGAAAGATCTAGAGACGATGTTCGAGATGATTGATGTGACGTCGCAGAAGTGGATCACGGTGCAGCAACTGCGCAACACCTGCCGCAACCTTTCCACCGGGTCGTCTGGCACCGAGCGGGGCGGCAACGGTGCCGTCAACACACTAAGCGAAGAGCAGGAAGCTGCCATTACCCGGGCAGGTGATGCCGCTGGGCACGTGTCGTTGGAGAAGTTCAAGGAGGTGCTGGCCTCGCTGCTTCTCACGCGAAATATGTGGTCGGCGAAGGAGTAGATGCCTTTCCAACCATCACGAGAAGCTGATTCGGAATACGAAAAGGAGTAGTATAGCGGAGTGAAAAGTACGTCTCTTCTGCCCGTTTGATGTAAACTACGTTTTTTCCCCTTCTCCAGAGCAATAAGAATCAAGAAAAAGAATACTATGTGTAACGACATGAAATTCCGTAGCGTCTCGTACTGGCGAATAGCGGCAACTCACGTCAATGCTCGAGTTCGCCCAAGTTAGACGCTTTGTTTTAATGCGCAGAAGTTCGTGTCTTTTGCCCTCTTCGGAAAAGGAAGTCACCTGAAAAGGTGGGATTCCTGAATGTTTTCTTTGTTTGTCCTTTCGCGTAGCAAGCACGTAAAACGACGACACTACGGCTCCGTTTCGTTGTCTGGTATTAGGTGAAAAGCGCTCATTTCCTAAATAAAAAAATATCTTCTTTTCTCCTCTTCACCCTTTTCGCCACCCTTCTCCTTCACGTCTATGAGTACTCTCGACGCTGCATAAACTCCAAGCTCCCAGCGCTCGCACTTTTCATATTACTGTTAATATTATTATCTAAAATTGTTGTTTGCGAGAAGAAGCGGCGTAGTTCTTTCTTCGTATATATATTTTAATCGCAGCCAGCGCGCGTCAAACGTACACAAGCGTTGGGAAACATGTGATGAACTTATAGAGAACTGCACGCACTCTGACAGTGTATTTCCTTCTTGTTTTTTTTTTTTCATTCTTGAGTCTGAGTTGTCGTTGATGCTTCCAACACACACACGCACAACGTACCCAATTGATTCACTTCTGTGCTGTCCTTTTTTTTCAATCATCTTACACGCCTCTCCTCGTAAGCTACGCGTTCAACCTCGTTGGCTCGTATCTTCTTTTTTGTACTCATATATATATATATATATATATATATGTACATTTATTTATTTACACAGTGGCTTCTTTTTCTTGTTTTTCCGCTGTTCTGACTGTACGCTAAGCGATTTTTTCAGCGTCTTTTTCCGTTCTTTTGCGTGAGCGATTGACAGCAGAGTTCAGCTCTGTTCTGATCGGTTCTGCGAAGAGCCGTTGCAGCACACAAGATAAAAAGAAAGAGAGCCTACCCGCAGAGGAGGAGAACTTGATAAAAGGGAAAAGTACACCTTCTTGCTGATCGAGTTATGGTGCGCGTGTAATTCTTGTTGCTGCTCTCGTTATTATTTTTGCCTCTCTGTTTATCGCGCACCCCGTTCAATATTCGCTGTTTTCTTTTGCTGGTTTCTTCTTTCATTCACCACAATCTCCTTTTTTTTGCATGTGCCTTTCTTACCATTGTACGCGTTAAACGGAATTTGCTTGTATATCCCTATCGAGCGGACGTGTTTTTATTATTATTTCGTTTTAGTCTCCCTTTCGTTTTTCCCCCATCAGCTTGTCCCACGTGGCTTCCTGACAACTGAATTTGCCTGTGCTGGCGACGTTTGTTGATTGGTGCTGTTTGTACCCCACTGCTATCTGCACGTGCCGGTGCATTCTTCTCCTTTCTTTCATTTTGTGTGCTTTGCGTGGCGTGCTTGGCAGATCAAGTTCCGTTGGGGAAGAAAAAACATTGACGTAGAATCGAAGCGCCGGTCCGATAATGCTGGAGAGACAAGTTGCGGAGCTGCTCGCAAGGTACCTGAGCCGGTTCATCGAAGATGTGAACGCGGAGAAGCTCGAAGTCTCTTTGTGGTCGGGGCACGTTGTTCTCACTAACGTCCACCTGCGTTCGGATGTGCTGGCGCGCATCACAGCTTTGCTGCACGGTGAAGCGGCGGGCGCCGACAACGCCAGCGCCAACGGTGCTGCTGCAATGCAGGGCTCTTCTAGCTCTCCCGATGCCGCCGCAGCAGCGCAGAGTACCTCGTCGGTGCACATGCTGCTCGCCCCTTTTGCTGTTGTGAAAGGTGTTATTCGCCACCTCGTCATCCGCGTACCGTGGTCGTCGCTGGAGAGCGAACCGATTCACGTGCAGGTCAGCGGGGTAGAGCTGGTGCTCGGTCCGCTCCGGGCACGTCCCTTCGACGCGTGGGAGGAGCAAGAGCGCGAGGAGGCCGTCAAGCAACAGCAGCTGGCGCGTTACGAGGAGGAGCGGCAGCGTCGCTCGCACGAGCTGGCAAGTGTGTGGACAAGCCGCAGCTCCTCCGGGGCCTCAGCTGGTGGTGAAGCGTCGGAGAAAGGGAAGATGGCGGCAACTTCTGATGGTGCCACCGAAGATGCCAACGCGTCGTGGTTTTCGTGGATTTGGGACTTTGACCGCATTAGCCAGCTCGCGCTGCGGAACTTGTGCGTGACACTAAAGGACGTGTGTGCGCGCTACGAGTTCGACTACGAAGGCCTGCACCCGTCTCTCGCGAAGGCGTTCGCCTTCTTTGTACACGAGGTGCGGCTCACAACGGTCAATCAGGGGTTTCGGGAGACGTTCGTGAGCGAACTGCTCGCCCCGCTTTGCAAGCGTATTCTGCTCTCTGACATCATCGTCAGCGTACACACCATGCGCGTTCCTCAGCCATCCTCCACGGAGTCTCCCAGCGCACGAGCGAGCAGCTCGATGCGTTCTTCCTATTTCCCTTCCTCCGTGAAACTCTCGCGAGACGACGGTGGTGTCTCATCCTCTCCCGTACAAGATGACGACACCAGTGGATCTTCGTCCCCGCTATCTGTTACGCACGGTCAGAAGAGCGCGTACGAGACCTACCAGGACCAATGGGCCTTCTCGAAAGCAATACTAAAGATATCAAAAATGGAGCTGCAGGCCAAAATAGTGCCACCCGGCTGCACCTCGTTGCACCCCATTGTCGAAGACGCACCACCGCTCCCGGCGAGTTCGACAGAGCTCACTATTTCTGCCGTCGAGGGCGTGCAAGCTGAAGTCTGCTTTGGTGTTTTCCAGACGCTGGAGTCGTTATGGCGCAGCTACCACCAAAGCGTGGGCTGCGCGCGCTACCGCAGAAGACTGCATTTGTTAAGGGTGCAACGGCAGCAGCTGCCACAGCAGGAGCAGTCCGTGACAAGTGTGGACTCGAGTCCTGAGCGATACGCAAGCAAAAGCAGGGAGTCTTCTTCCCCTTTACTTTCGTCGGAGACGTCGACGTTGCGGCAGCTCACACGGCAGCGGTGGCAGTTTGCGCTGCGCTGCGTGTTGGACGACATCCAGAAGCAGCGGCAGACCTTCCACCGACACGATCGCAGCCACCGCGAGATCATTGAGGGGATGATGATGTTTTGTCAGGTGCGGCGGGCCTACTGCCAGTACTGGAAGCGCATGCAGGGTGTTCGCTGGGCGCTCCCGCTGAACGAGCTGGAGGAGAAGAAGTTGATGCTGATGGAGCGCCAGCTGTCATTGATGCAGGTGATTTTCCTTCGCTGCCTGTCCTATGCAGAGATGCTGCAAGAAGAAGACGGATATGCGCGACAGCGGGCCTTTATTGAGGAGGCGCGTCAACGCAGTCAAAAAGGTGTGCGTGGCAGCAGAAAGCAGAAGGCAGACGGGAGAGGAGGCACCGGCTTGTGGGGTTGGTTCACGAAAGCGGTGATTTCAGTACCGGAGAAGGACGATCCAAGTATCGCCTCCGTGAGCGACGCGCACTGCGAAACACTTCCAATGGCCGTGTCGCCCGGCTTACAAGTGCCGTCGCTTACGGATTTGGTGAGGGTAGAGTGGGAGCTGGGTGAACGGTACACCTCGCCCCATCGCGCGCCGCTCGTGCAGCCTTGTGTGCCGCAACACTTTCTGCCCAAGGCGACGAAGGGCAACTCCGTGTACTTCACCTTGCGTTGTATTGCGGACACCGTGACGGTGCGTGTGGCTCCGACTTATTGGCCACTCGTGCACGACAGCAGCGTTCCTCCGCCGCCGCTGAACACTCCGCTGCGTCGCATTGAACAGCAATTCTGTGGGCATCTTTCCTCGGTGGAAGTGTTTTTCACCACTGTTCCCGACGAGCGCCCAGACAAAGCTTCTTGGTCCTTCTTTGTCGGGTCTGCGAGGTTTTTCTTTGATGGTGTGCTGCGCTCCATGCTGCTGCGATCGAAAGAGGCGCCAGAGGAAGACTTCATCGTTGTAAAGCAAAACGCTAGCCACACCCACGTTGGTGTGTGGATAGCACCGCAGCTCATCATTTGCCAACCACTGCACGAGTGGCGCTGGTGGGGTATGGAGGTGGCTGCCTTTGTGGAGTGGTTCATGGCGCTGCAGCGGACTTTCTACGCAGCGTCACCGCCCGCTCGTCCTGACACCACCTCTTCAGTGCTGGAAGAATTCCCGGTCGGCCCTCACTTTGCTGCCCCGAGCGGGCGAGCCTCGAGGCCGATGTCGGTGCAGACAACACCCACCCCGCGCCACTCGTCCCAAACCTCTCACGACGCAGTGCCGTCTCGCGAGTCGCCACTGACACGGTTGCTGACGCCCTTGATCTGGAACATCACGATTCGGGCGACAGACGTGTGCATCCCGCTCTCTGGCCGCGACATCGATGACACGGATGCGGATATCATCCGCCTTCCGCCCTCTGAGTTTCCGTCACTGCTCGTTACAGACTCCATGAGCACCGCCGTCCCGGCGAGGGAGGGTTCACTGGATGGCGGCACTCATAAGCTGTCCTTCGCAGCGGAGGCGAATGCGGGGGCTGAAAGCGAACTGGAAGCGCTGTCGCACGGCGCCACCACACGCGGAGGTGCGCTGCACGTCTTTCTCTACGCCGATGAGTCAGGTGGGGATAAGGAAGGTGGGGGCGAGGAGGACCAGGCAGCGGCCATTTCTGGGTCCTTCGTGACGAGTCCGGCCGGCAGCTTCGCCTCCACGAAACCGGTGCGATGTTTTCTCAACAACGACGCGTGTTTGGTGCTTTCCATTTCTACCACCCGTCTTGTCACGGCGAAATCGGCACAAAGGCGGCGAAGGGGAGGTGGGAATGAGTACTACCTCTGCATCGGCGACCCCGACAGGGCAGTGCGGCTCTTCTGTCAAAAGAAGCTCTCCTCGACGACACTCGCGACAAATCGTCATTTGGAGTTGATGTCGTTTGCCGCAGGGGAGGTGCTGCTAAACTCGGAGGAGCTGTCTGTCGTCTTTAATCAAGGCATCGACTTTGTGGTGGAGCCGGATGCGTTTGCGGTGCTGAATGACGGATTATTGAAGCCGGCGGTGTTCGTCGCGAGCGACCCCTACGCGCGGCAGGCGCAGGCACTCGTCGAAGAACTGCACGTTCTTAATGCCAAAGACAATGGAAAGCCTAGCCATTTCCCACTGCACGATGCGCATCAACTCCCTCCACTCTCGTGGAAGCTCTCAACTCCCGGCTGCATGGAGGTCACACGGCAAGACAACGAGACTGGCCAAACCGATACTGACGCCTCGCCTGCGATGGTGGTGGTACGTGAGTTCCCTGCTGACTGTACGCGACACATCCTGGCTGCCGCCATCGCCACCCTGCCGAAGGAAGCACGCGAAGGCACCATCAAGGACGGCGAGGAGGAAATAGCGGCTAGCGTTCGCAACGGAGTGCACAACGCCGCATGGGAGAGTCGCATTGCGGGTCCGTCGCGTGGTCCCTTTGGCGGACGTACCTTGGCGCTTGGCATCAGCGTCGCGCGTTTGCTGGTGCGGTCCGCCTACGATGAGGATGTGGCGGAGGTCGTGCTGGTCGCGCCGGAAGAGGTGCCCGCTGCGACGGCGTCGTACCGCGGTGCGTTGGCCGCTCTCGGTGCACAGGAGCCACGCGCGTTGGAGCTTGTCTGGGACCCCTTGTCCCAACAGCACCCCGCGGGTCACGATGGGCTCCCTGCTGGGCTGCCGTTCCCGCAAGGGGGCCCAAAAGGATGCCCGGCGTTTCTCCTCTCTGTTCCCGATGTGACGATGACCACTGCGGCAGGGCAAAAGCTACTCACTGTTGAGCAGCTGACCGTCGTGCAGGCGGCGACGGCGCTACCTGGCGCTGCTGAAAATGTCGCGGTAACGGTGGAGATGGCATCCGTGTGCTTTCACATGGTGCTCGTGAATTTGATGGAAATAGCAGTGGGCACCTTTTACGCGTTAAAGCTCCTCGCTACGCCTCAACGCACAACCGGGAGTGAAATGCAACGAGACGCATCCGAAGGCGTCTCTTCTGTCGCGCAACCGCAGCAGGACGCCACCGCACTCGAACCCTCCTCGTTGATATTATCGGTGGAGGTGCGGTCAATCCATCTGCAGGCGCCTCTGACGAAGAGTGACGTCCAGTGTGCACCGTACGTGGAGGTCAACGCACGTCTTGAGAGTTTTAACGCTTTATTTGAGCCTGCCCTGGAGGAAGGAGATCAGAAAAATGAAGAACGGGGGCGTCGCCTTCACATTCAGTTCGAGGTGCCGGATGCCGTGCAGCTGGTCGACTACTTCGGAGGCGATCCGGAGACGTGTAGTTTGGTGACGGCACTTCCGTGGACTGCACATCAAGGAAGGGACAGCACGGCGGACCACCCGCTGCGTTGTGCAGTAGACTTTGCGGTGCCTGCGACTCTACGCGTCAAGGGCATCGAACCCGCAACGCCGGCGGCGACTACCACAACCTGTAACGTGGATTTGAGAGGCGGCGCCATTCACGCGTACTTTCCACTTCTGTACCTCTTCGTCGATATGCTGGCACACGATGAGCGCATCCAGAAGCTGAAACGGCTGCCATCGTCTCCTCTTTTCCAGCACGGGTTCACCTCGCTGTCGCACGAGCGAGTACAGCGGAGGACAAACAGCACTGCTTTCTCTACCGTCAGCACCCCGGAAAGCCACTCGCCGATGCTCCAAACTACGGCCGCCGTGGCTTCTCCTTCTACACCTTCATCTGGCCGGCTCGAAATCGCAGCGACTCTGTCGGATGTCGACGTGTTTCTCGCCACGGACGCAGGCGTGCCCGTTGACACCAGCAACCCCGATACGTTCTGTGTCGTGCGGATTAGTGAGATGAAAGGCGGCATGGTGCGAACAGCTGCTCACTCGGCGGACCCCACCATCTGCACCCCGCTGCGGATGCGGGCCTACCTTGACACCGTGACGTTGTACCTTGTGGACTTGATGGCGGCGGAGCCAAAGAACGTGCGTCTGCCAAACCTCAAAGTGCGCGTCGACGCGGGCGTGCTGCTGGTGCCGAAGGAGACGCTGACAGGATACACGTACCGGAGAAGCAACGAGACGGACGTGACAGTGATCGTTGGCCTGCATCCTCCTGCTACCACCACCGAGGCGACTGCCTCACAGCACAGTAACAGCGCTGGTAAGGGGACGACAATGCCTGAAGGACGGAGCGCTGCGGCACCGTCCGGCGAGACCATCACCACGACGGCCGGGGTGTCGATGGAGCTCGGTGTCTATCAATTCCGCTCCCTCGTCCGTTTTATCATCCACAACGTCGCCCAGGCACCGGTGGCGGCAGCGCAGCGATGCAAAGAGCGGGACGTGTACGAAGAGGCAGCCCATTCTCTGCTCCACCACAGACGGTGCTCGCTGCATCCCCGGCAGCCGGCATCAAACTCGATGGAGGACGTGTCGAGGGAAACACCGCCGCCTCCGCCTGCCGCCGCCCCCGCGACCTCTGCTGCTCTCACACTGCTCGTTACACTCCCCCCGGCGTCGCTGACGGTGCAGGAGGGGGATCCAGCGCCAGCATCCGCGCTGGAAAGCACCAACGACGTCGGGACTGGCAGCGAAAGCATCTCGTATGAGTTCACCCTCCGACAAGGGGCACAGTTTTACTCCGCGTCCGGCGGCCAGTGGTCGAATTCACCGGTGAAAAACGGCCAAATCAGCGGGCTGGAGCTAAAGGCGCACGAAGACAGCGTGTACACCAGCGCATCCGTCGCCCGTTCGTCTTGTGGACACGTGCGGTCTCTTCTCACGGCAGACTTGGTCGGGGTGGCCCTTGTGGAAGGGAGTTCGTCCTCCGTACTGTCCGCGTCTCGTTCACAGGGGCAAGAGGTGGACGGAGAGGCGGTCGGCGTCAGCAGCGTCAACACACCGTTCCTGCGTATCGCCGCGGCGGTGCGCAACACCACCGTGCGTGTCCCGCATGTGCGATGGTGGTTGCGACTCTACTCGCTCTTCGCTGACTCTGCGGGGCCCACGCCGCGGGGTTCTGCACCGGACATCGTGCCGCCTGCGGCGCTTTCCCAGCACGACTCCCTTGCGGATGTTGGACAGCCTAGTCCTCCGCAGTTTCGTGACAGCGCGAGCAGCCAGCAAAGCAGCGTCTTGTTTGGTCCGCGTGGCGGCAATCGTGCGGGCTACCCAGATGGGGAGCAGGCCGACTGGGTGGCAGGGGGTCACCCCCGCCCCCTCACGGCCTCGCAAAGTTCTCGCTGGCTTTACGGCTTTGTGGAACTGTCACAGACGCAGGTGATGTTAGGTGAGTGTGACAGGGGGCAGCAGCAGCAGCAGCCGTGGTGCTGCCTTCGTATACCCGACGCGCGTCTCACGGTGGCGCCCGCGACGTTGCCTCAGAGTGCGGGTGTCAGCCGGGTGTACGACGAGTTCACCTTGGACGTTGCTCGGTGTCCGGAGTTGCTCCTGCGCGCCGCCGACATGGCGGCTGCGGAGAGGAGTACCACCGGCTTTAAAGTGGTGTACGTGTCCGTGTTGAAGCTGCAACCAACTGCGCCAGCAGCGCGTGAAGCGGAGGGCAATGCGACGGGCGCCTTTTCTGGGTCTTCGTGCATCAAGGTGCAACTTATTCGATCGCCTCATTCCCACCTCATTACCAAATTGCGCTACGGTTGTTGCTACCGCATGACAGACCTGGCGCTGCATCGCACTTGTGCTTTGCAGGTGCAGTTGAAAGGGCTTCTGTTGAACGTCCCAGCCAACGAGCTCTTTGGCTTTGCGCAGGAGCTGTTGCGACAGTCGGCAGAGGTTGGCACGCTTTTAACCCCCGAAAACGGCCCGCCGCGGCTTGCGTCTTTCCATTCTGCCGGTCCGGCTCGCACCTACACTGGCGTCGAGGCGCAGCTGACCAATGTGGGAGTTGTTGTCTCGTCCGAGTCGCCGCCCTCGCCGTCGGAAGGGCCGGTAACATCACAACCGCATCACAACAATGAAGGCGGTTCTCCCTGGTGCGGTGTGACTGTCACTTCTCTCCGACTGACCACCGATGTGGAGTTGGAGAATGTCCTGACGAATACAGGGGATCCAGCGACGCTGATGGACGATGCCCTTGCGGCTGGGTGGCGGATGCGGGTGTGGCATCTCGTATCCCGCATCACGCTGCGTGGGGTGGTACTGGCGGGTCATCACGGCGTGGATGTGCAATGGAAGATGCCGGTTGTGGAGTTGGGCGTGTCCCAGCCGCTGCCTCGGACGGTGCTGTGCGTGCGAAGCAACCGTTACCCCGACGCGGGGAAGGACGAGTTAAGTCAGCAGGACGGCGAGATTTCTTCGTCGCTGCTGCGGCAGCGCAGCGCAACGGACTTTTTTCACGTGGAACCGACGGCGGCGACCGTGTGCAGTGAGTTGAACAACCACCTCCTCACACGCGCGTCGATTGAAGTGGGCGAGGCGGGGAAAAAAGCCAGCGATGCAACGCCGGAGAAGGACGTCGGCGTGACGGCGGTGCCGCCGGTGGTGATTTCTGTCGATACCGTCTACACGCTGAGTCGCAGCGTCGCGCACCTGCTGACGCTGTGGCGGGCGGCGGAGCAGCGTCAATTAGCACTTGCGTCGCCGAGGGCTGGCGTGGTGGTTACTGAAGAGAAACCGTCGAACGCCACTTCAAGGCCGGCTCTTTTACGTCGGGACGAATCACTTGGTCCGATAATGTGGTACGAGGTGAAGCTCTCTATGTGTGGGAGACGTGTACATCTCGTGTCCAACCTCCCCGTAGACGCCCTGCATGGAGCCGCACGTCACTGCTTCATGGCCATCGCGGTAGAGGACGCCATCACTTTCCAGGTGGACCGCGTCCCACACGATGACGAGCTCGTCTACGCATCGCCACGCGGCAATGAAGAACTGGACAGAGACCGAAGCATGACGAGCAGCGATGCAGCAGAAGCCGCAGGGTCCGCGGTCGTGCACGAGCAATATCGTGTGCGCGTTGGCACCGTGCGTGTATGCGACGGCACCGGCAATCTGATTTGTCTCCTCACGAGTCAAGGAAGTAGCCGCGGGGCGACGTGTGATTCGCACGCCTTAACGGCGGAGTATGCGCGGAGTGAGCGGGCTATGAGTGTTTTTGCGGAGCACCTCTTACTCACTGCGAGCCCGGTCACAGCGACCTTTGCGGTGGAGTGGTGCCGAGCCTATCAGGCATGGAGCCAACTGTGGTTACAGGCGGTCCGATCAGCGGAGCCACACGAGAGACGTTGCAGCGGAAAGGATATGGGAAAGGAAAACTTTTTCACCGCGTCCTCCTTCGCGGATGTGCTGGTAGATGTGTGCCAGGTGGACGTGTTGCTGGCGCCTGCAGGGTATTTGGCTATCAAGCGTTCACAGCTCAGTCGTTCTCTCTGCGCTCAAGAAGGACCGACAACTGCTGTGACCGGTGTGAACGAAGTTCAAGTGGTGCGGTGCGACGCGGTTTCGTTGTTCTCCACATCCGCCGTCGGGTGCCAGTATCGTCGGCATGAATGCGCGCCTGTACTACTCGCCTGTGTAACGGCACCGCTGCTGCGCCGCACGCGCGTCTCGGGGACATCGGCGACAGTCTGTCGTGTGCCGAGCGTGTCCCTCTTCAACCGTGACCGCTTTAGCTGGGCACTCTGCACAATGCGGGTGACACTGATCGTGCGATCCGCGACCGTCTTGTGGTCATCAACGCAAATCGCAGATTTCGCATCGCAGCCACCGCCGGCAGCCGAAGGGGAGGTCCAACGGGAAGCACAAAAAGGCGTCGACGCAGAGGTGGTGACTTCCTTGGCTGAGCCATCTACCTACCAGCTCATTGTCGAAAAGGCCGAAGTGCTTTGCTTTGCACCACACGACGAACACGCCAACGCGGCTCCCGCGTTGCACCTACGAGCAGAACAGGTGGACGTGACGGCGCCGGCGATCGTCGCGGCCAGCACATCGTCCTCTGCCACAGAGTCTCTCAAGAGCGAAATGTCCGCACAGGGCAAGCTCTCCGCTACCTATCGTTGTTCTTCCCGTGCGACGGCTCTACCGCTGCTGGAGGAAACAGAGGTAACGCTCACCGTGCACACTGGTGTTGCACCGCAGAGGACGGCGTCGCAGGTGGCGGTGTTAGAGATCCAGCTTTGTGTGGCAGAGAAAGGCTTGCAACTGCGTGTGCCGGCAAATGAAGACCTCGAGTGTGTTGTAGGGGCGCTGTGCTTGGTGGTCGGCCAGCACGTGCCCCGCCGCTCACCGACAGCCGTAGCGCTACAGCCTTCCACGGGGAGCACGGTAGTGGAGTGCCATGGAGGCACTAGCGGTGGGGAAGATGTACCTGATGCGGGTAAGAAGGGAAAGGAGCAGCAGCTGTGGTGCTTGTCCGTCAACGTTCCTCGCTTTTCGTGCGACGTCATATTGAACCCTAGCGGGCAACGACTCGCCGCTGTTGACGTGGGCCACATTTACGGGCGATTCAAACCACGCGCGCTAGGACAGCGGCCGTACGTCGAACTGCGCGTGGCTGAGCTTACTGGTGAGACAGACATCACGGAAATGGAGACTTCAAGTGAGTCGGTGGCAGCAGCAGCACGTTTTATGTCCATGAAGCCGCTGGCCAGCGCCCCCAAGCAATCGGCACCGACTTCGTACCTCTCTGAGTGGGATGCAGCGTCAACAGACATGCAGCAATACGCGCTCTTTCTTGTGCAAAGGTCACTCCCCCTCTCGCATGAGGACTGGGAGCGCCGCAGCTCAGAGTTGTGCAGTTGTAGCGACGAGGCATCGGCACTCACAGCTCGCGTTCACGCCTTCCACACGCACGTCTCTCTGACTTTGCTGCGAGCGCTCGCCAGCGACGTGCTGAAGCCGGTGGTGGGCGGGGTCAGATCGGCGTCCATCACCGACGAAATTGGCGCCGTGGTGAACTCCTTCCATTCCACTGTGCTGCGGGTGCTTCAGCCGAATACGCCGCTGCCGCCTCCCGACGAGCTCGAGCGCCACGCTGCTCTCGTGCGGGTGGTGGAGGTCACGAGCGATTGGACGCTCACGCACGACCTTGTGCTCGGCGGGTCAACGGACGGCTGCAATCTTCAACTGCACTTTTGCAATACCGCACCGCACAACGTGATCACCGTGCGTGGCAGCACCGCGGCTGCTGGACAAGACGAGGTGGTGGTCCATCTGTCGTGCTGTGCATGCGTCAATGGTGATCAGTGTCCTGCAATACGTGTCGACCCCGATGTGACAGTGAAGTTTGAAAACGTGGTGGTGGTAGTGGATGGCTTCGGCGGACCGCAGGGGCTCCTGCCGAGCACCTTCGTGGTGTTGGGAGAGCGGGCCCTCTGCGTGTTCCCGCCCACGCGGCAAAGGTCGCGGCTGTCGTTGCTGTCACCACATCTGCTCCAGTCCGAGCATCCCGCTGAGAACGCGTTGCCGAACACGGAGGCGGAGGGCCGTGACCAGGAGAGAGCCGCTGCAGCAGCATCAGCCCAAATCACTCCGCCGTGGTTTGCCACCTCCATCTATTCGCTCGACGTGAAGGTGGACTTTGACACGTCGCTTGCCGCGCAGCGGCGACGTCTGCAGGCGGTAGGGACGTGGCAGCTGCAGTACCGTTTCGAAGACAAGCGCAAGGGTAAACAAATGATTCGGACTGAGCGTGAGGGCGGGGCTACCCTGACGCTGCAGCGGTGCGCCAACGAGTCTTGCATCCTGACCCGCACACCCGTCGCCTTTTCGGCACGCCTTGGCGATGCGAACGAAGAGCATCGCCGATTGCAGATCGCGTTTGACATGGGGGCGACGGCGTGGCAGCTTCCGCTGGGTCACGCGCAGCTGCTCGTGCGTTCTGTCACGAGCATCATCAACGCCTTCACACACACACCGTCCGCGGGCGCTACGCCGTCCATTGCGGTGGCGGCACCGCCTGGCAAGCGTTCCGGCCCAACGACAGAGTGGGAGCCACCAACCTCCTTGGACACGCAGAAGAATACAAAAGGCAGTGCATCATCGTCGTTTGTCACACCGCCCACCCCACTCGACGTTGAATGCAGTGTGCCCTTGTGCACCCTCTGCTTCACCGACGACTTTCAGCTGCCGCTCGCGGCCTGCAACGTGGAGAATTTCTCCTTGAAGTGCGCAGCGGATATGCAGTTTCGCGACGCCGTCGTGAGCGCCACAGCGTCACTGTCCCTAATCGACCACCTGGAGCGTTGTAGCTTCCCAAACGGTGGTCACATCCGAAAGAGCGGTGGCAGCACTGCACGGGTGCTCTTCGCGGCAAAACCGTCTATGGCTCTCGTGTGGACGCGCTTCAGCAGCGATAGCCGTTCTCTCTCGCTCTCCGTCAGCGTGGAGGACGTTGTGACGACGCTGCCGATCACAACAGCCCTCCGCGTGCTTCGCTGTGCTCGATCAGACGTAGAGTCCGGCACACGCGCCTTCTGGAATGACTCCGGCGTCGAGCTCGCCGTTTGCGCCGCAGGCACGTGCACAAGCGCACCTGGACAAAGCACGGATCTCAGCGGGAATGGCCGTCACTCCCAGTGGCGTGTGCCGGCGTCGCCTTCAGAAAGAGCCATCATCACCGGAATCCCTTCCGCCGTTGCGGAATTGACGGTGACTTCGCCGAATCCTTCCGACGGTGCTATCTCGCCAGCTTTGTCGACCGACCGATGCGACAGTCTACATCCCGGCGAGTCCCTCGGAGTAAGGCTGGATCTGCGGCGGCTGAGAGACGACACGGTGCATCGCCTGCGTTTGACGGGCTACGTGTCTCCCTTTGGAGCGCTGGATGTGGTGGTGCGGAAGTCCGTGTGTGGCGGCATTGCTGTGGTACACCTGGCGTCGACGGTAGAGTTGACGAACGCCTTCTACCCATTGGACGGTTTAGTCGACGGCGCAGCCGTGGTGTTGCGAGCTTCTTCGTCTTTCTCCAGCGACGTGCCTGCCTTTGTCGTTGCGCCGCGCTCTACTCGTTTTATCCCGCTACCCGTGCTACGCGATCGGTTTGCGCTTGAGATGGGTGGGTGCGTGTACGCCGCGCAGGCGAAGTTCGTGACCTGGGCCATGGTCGCGGATGCAATGACGGTGATGGCCGATCAAATCGTGACGAGCGCCGCAACCGCCGATGCTTATGCGTCTGCGGCAAGGTTGCGGAAGCTGGGTGTTGACGCCGAAAAGGATGCGGACGATGGTGGCAGCGGCAATGGCCACCGGGGTGCGCTATCCGGGGGGCGGCAAGCGCAGGTGGTGGACTCCTCAACGATTTCCTTTCCTGTGATGCTACGTCCGCCGCATTCTCACGTGACGAGTTCGACGGCGACGGGGACGTCGCTGACGGAAGAGGAGAGCGAAGCTGCGAATCGCGCTGCGCCGCCACTGCTCAATCGGGTCGTGCAGCTCACGTGGAGGCGTCACCGCAGTCAGCCTCAATCGCAACTACTTTCTTCCGACTGTCTCCCTCCGTGCGAGTACGCCGTTACGGTGGAACCGGTGTGGACGTTGTGGAACTGCACCGGCTGCCGTTTACGGTTGCACCTGTGCCTCCCCGCCAAGGGAAACGCCGTCAGCCAGAAGTCAGCGGTCAAACAACACGACGAGGGCGAAGAAAAGTCGTCGGCACGCGCAGCGGCCACGAATGTCTCGGCGCAGGACACTGAAGGCGACGGCAACGTCATCGGCGCCGCTGTTGTCGAGAACGGGATGTGCTTCCAGTGGATGCCCGCGTCGCTGCAACACTTGGAGGCGAACGTCGCCGCGTTCTTCCAGCTCGAGTCACCGTGTACGTCGTCATCGTCGCAGTGGTGGTCCGCCGCGGCTCCGCTGTTTCTTAAAGAGTCTCCACCGTCGTACATTCGCCTGCAGCAGAACGCCACACACACGCAAGGCGCGGTATCCTTGGAGCGCCGCGGTAGCTCCGTCGTTGTAGTGCGCTGTGCGGCACTCCTGCGTTCGAACATGACCCAGACAGTTTACCTGCGCGATGCCTCTAGGCCAATGCCGCTGTTGGGGACGGACGCGCAGGGGCGGCTAAACCCCCAGCAATTGCTTCCTCTGTTCTTCTCTGAGTACGTGACGACGCTGGCGCCGAATGCCAAACGTGTCGGCTTCACCGTGCGCGACACGCCGCTGCGGGCAACGACTGCAGACGGGAAGGAAGAAACGGACCCGTACTACCTCACCACTCCGATTGCCGCCACCGTGCTCTCTGCTGATGAGCGTGGGGACTGCACCGTCTTCTACTCCGTGTCTGCTGCCGAAGACGCAGGGACCGAATTCGTCACGTCCGCCGTGACTTCGGAGACGTTGCCGGGCACGTCCCTTTGGCGTCCAGCGGCGGCAGCGGCCCTGCAACTGCGGTATCTGTGCTGTGTCCGCAACGCCGATCCCCACCGCACGTTGTGCGTGCGGCCCTACGTGCGAGCGGGCGACACACCGGTTGGGGCCATCGAAGAAATCCGCATCCCTCCAGCGGAGGTACGGGAGCTGCGGCGATTCGCTGCGCACACGGTCGAACCGGAGGTGCAGTTCTGCTACGGCGGGAAGGATGCCGCGCCGACGCCTGCGCACCTGTGGTCACCGCCGGTCAAACTTCTCTCGTTGGCGACGTCGACGCTGCCGCTTGTGCTGAAGCACGTTTGTGCGCCGCCAGCGCCCACCACGGAGCCGTGCGCCGATGCCTTCTGTCTCTTTTCGGCACCTCGTGGCGGACATGAACCGCCCTTCTCCACGAGAGAGCACTGCCGCTGTCTCGAACTGCAGTCCAGCACCGCTGATGGACGTCTGTGCGTGTCGGTCAGCCTGCGTGCCGTACCACCGCTCCGCATTGTGAATCGACTGAACACCACCCTGCAGTTTACACAAACGTTAGCGAAGGGCAACAAGTCCGCGTCCCCCGCGTCGTCGCCATCGGCAGTGCGTGTGTCAGCGAACGCCGTCTCTACGGCGTTGTGCTCGCACACCGCCCCGCCGTGGAGCTACGTCGTCGCCGCCGAGTCGAACAGCTTCGGCTGCTGGGAGGTGCCCACGTTGGAGTTCCAGGGCGTGCGCATCACGTTGCATTCGAACCGGCACAAAGGCTTCACCGCCAGCGTCGACGTGGATCTGCTGAAGTGCGCCGCCGCCCCTTCTGCCGGGTTGCGGGTGGGTCAGACTGACGCCTATGTCTACGTGAATCTCGATCACGTCACGCATCAGTTCACCGTCACCGTTGTCGCCACCCGCCAGCTGGAGAGTCACATGCTGTGCCAGCCACGCCGTCTGACGCAGCTGGAGGTCTTTGTGCCGCGCTGCACGATGTACCTGTCTGCGGTGACTGTGCCCATGACAGGGCATTTCTCCGGCACAAGCGTCATCGCACGCAGCGCACGTGGCCGACTGCGCACGCGAGCCCGCGGGGAGGGTACTACGGCATTGACGGTGCCGTCTACCGCGACGGACGAAGACGTGGTCGCGCTTCTGCGGCAGCTGGAGGTGGATGTGGTGTGTGTGCGCATCGTGGGCGTCTACGGCAGTGCTACAGTGACGGAGCGCCGCATGCTGGGCAGTGCGTCGGTCGGCATTGTCGAGGTGCTGGACGCAACAACGCCGCAGGCCGTGTATCCGGTGGTGTTCCGCATGAGTTCCAAGACAGCGCAAAATATCGAAGGCCATCCATCTTCCGAGGATCCGACAGCCGCGAGAAGCGATCCTTCGACGACGGCGACGGCAAGCGTCGGTATTCATGGCGGTGACAGCACGTCCTCCCTGTCCTCCTCGACGATTACGGCGGCCACGGCTGCTACGGTGCCGCGTTTCAAAGACCCTTCGTGGTGCAACGTCGAGGTGCAACTTGCCCGGCCGGATGTTGGTGCCGGCGGAACCGTCATGTTGCCTCTGCAGCTGCTGCGCATTACCGTCCCACCCATGACACTCCACCTGCACGATGAATTCCTGTTCACCGTACGGACTTGTGCGGAGAGCGTTCGCGAAGAGTTGAATTCTCGGCTTTCAACGGCATCATCCTGCGGCAGTGCGCAGTTCACCCGCGCCACGGCCTCTGTCAAACGGACGACAGGTGATCTTCCTTGTGCAGCGCCGCAAACGGTCCCGTCCCGTAGCAGCACGCGAAGGGTGTACAACGTTTTCCTCTACCAGCTGCACGTCTCCGCGATTGCGACGGAGGTCACGTACACGCGCTCTGGCGATCGCTGCTACAACCCTTTCCGCAACCTCGGGGTTTTGCCCGCGCACCTCATCCCCTCGATAGAGGGAGTCGACATCAAGCTGAAAGAGGTGAAGCTCGCGAACGTGGAGCTGCTGTCTGCCACCTCTTTTGCTACGGTTGTGCAGTCGTTTGTGTGGCCGCTGTACCGCACACAGCTGCTGCTGCAAAGCTATAAAGTTGTCGGCTCGCTCGACGCCCTCGGCAACCCTCGTGCGCTGCTCGGGAGCTGGTCGCGTGGGGTGTGGGACTTGGTGACGAACTCTTCCGGTAAAAGCCGCTGGGCCGGCACGCGTGATTTCTTGCGCACGACCACTTCGTCCACGCTGCACTCCGTTTCCGCGCTGGCGCGGAGCATCGGCAATTTGACGGGCGGGTCCTCAACGGCGGCTACCTCGGCGTCAGTAGCAGCGAACGGTGGTAGCGCAGGTAGCATTACAGGAGGAGACGGGCTGCTACCCTCTTCCGACCAACGTCGCGGTCTTTTAGGCGAAGTCTTCGCCGAAGTGAGCGGCGGCGTGGTGGATGCCGTAGCGAAGCCGATCCGTGGTGCGCGCGAGGGCGGCGTAAACGGTTTTCTCCTCGGTGTGGCGTCGGGTATGGTGGGGCTCGTCGGACGTCCCGTGTTTGGCTTTTTCCGTGGGGTCGGCGTCACCTCCCAGTTCTACGCGCGTCTCCTGGACGGGCAGACGACGTTGACGGATGAGGAGGCGCGACGGCTGGCGCTGGGGCGCAACTACCGTCTCTCAGCCGCCCCAACCGACTCCCAAGACATCAAGGCCGACGCAGAAGGCTCTCTTACCGTTACTGCTGTTACTGCTGTTGTCGCCGATCGCTGTGATGTGCGGCTGGCGAGTTTGGCATTTGAGCGGATGATGTCGGCTGTTCCGCGGTGGCGTCGCAGCAGTGAAAGTCACGTGCGCGCCGCCGTTGCACGAGCGGGGGTGCAGAACGCCGCCCTCTTTCTTCCGTACTCCACCATCAGCGCTTTCTTCACGCCGGAGGAATTTGCAACCTCCCTTCCCACGTCCCTCACGGCGGCGCTGACGGCAAAGCTGCTCGCCGCCCTTACCCACACGCAGAGAAGCGGCAACGCCGGTGGCGGTGAAGAAGCAGCAGACAAGGGCGCTACGCTGAAACGACTTGCGCGGGAGTGTGACCGCGCGTCGCACATCAGGGCCTCCCTCGGTGTGCCGGCGCTACACAAGTACGTCGCGGACGACGTCTTCGTTCGTGTGTGCTCGCTGGACGAGATTGTCGAATCGGTGACAGCGACCGGCATTCAGGCGAATTACGTGATTCTGCTTTCCAAAGCTGTGAATGCAGCGGGAGAGGAATTGTTCATGCCCTAACAATGATGAGAGAGCGAATTGCAACCGTCTGCTTAACATTCATATGCGTGTAGTTCTTGTTTTCCGAACGTGAATTCGCTATAGTGACTTCGCACTTTGTTGTTCCTTTTGTCGCTGCTGCGTTGCTGCCGCCGTGTTTGTTCCCCTTTCTTTTTGTCTCACAAACAGTCGTCAGTTGCGGCCCCAGCGCTGCTTAAAACCAACGCAGAAGAATTGCGCCATCAGATTCCACTCAGCATACGTGCCATGAAAAGGTCTTCTTGTATTACCGCTGTTGTTGCAAGCAACAGTCTCTGTCTCCCGCTGGCAAAAATCAAAAGTATCCAGCGAAGCTTCATGAATGGATAATACCACTCGTACTATTTTTTTTTTTTCGTTCGACGAGGAAGGCACTGGGGTGCCTCGAATGTTTCGTGGATCGAGCTTTCTTGCCTACCCTCTCTCTCTCTTTCTCTCTGTGTCTGCTGTTCCTTCTCATCACCGCACCTGTGTTCCTCTGCCTCTCTTGCCTGGTTGCCACAACAGATCTACACGCAAATCAACTTTTCTTTTCGATCATTTCGTCTCGAGCGCAGCAAGTTAATTGTAACTTCTTCAGTATTACCTTCTTATTTTTTCCACCATGTCCACCCTGAAGGAAGTCAACGGCCGCCTGGCCGCTCAGCCTTTCGTGTCCGGCTTCTCCGCTAGCTCCGAGGATGCCCGCATCTTTGAGGAGATGTTCGGCAGCAACAAGAACGTGGTCCAGTGGGTTGCCCGCATGGCGTCCTACTACCAGGCGGAGCGCGACGAGCTCCTGAAGGGCGAGTGTGCGAAGACTTCCGAGCCCGCCAAGAAGGCCGCCGCGCACGCCCCTAAGGCTGCCGCCGCTGCTGCGGAGGACGACGACGACATCGACCTGTTCGGTGAGACGACGGAGGAGGAGGCAGCCGCGCTGGAGGCAAAGAAGAAGGCGGACGCAGAGAAGAAGAAGGCGAAGAAGGACGTGATTGCGAAGTCGTCGATTCTGTTCGACGTGAAGGCGTGGGACGACACGGTGGACCTGGAGGCGCTGGCGCAGAAGCTGCACGCGATCAAGCGCGACGGTCTGATCTGGGGCGACCACAAGCTCGTGCCGGTCGCGTTCGGCGTGAAGAAGCTGCAGCAGCTGATCGTGATCGAGGACGACAAGGTCTCCGGCGACGACCTGGAGGACATGATCACCGGCTTCACGGATGAGGTGCAGTCCATGGACATCGTCGCCTGGAACAAGATTTAAGAAGCAACGCTGCTTTGTCGCCTTGGTGAGTTCTTCTTTTTCCATCACCACCTCGATTCTTCTTCTTTTTTCTTGGTCGTTGTTGTTTGCCTCCACGAGCGCAACGCGTGCCTTATTATTATTAGTGATGCTGTTCTGTGTGTTATTTCTCGTCCTCTGTCCTCTCCCAAACACCATCAACAACAGAAGAGAAAAAACGAATGCCTATATACGGTGTTCAGCACGCACGATCGTTGGTGGTGGTGTTAACGTAAGCGCATATGCGTGTAGGTATGCGTGCACGCTGCAGACACAACCTCCTGAAGAGAGGAAAGAATAACGAAAGTAAAAGGTGGAACACTGGCGTTGTTTTCTTGTCTTTTCCTATCTGCACGAAGAATGAAGGGCTTATCGGGTGACATGTCTGTGTGAGTGTGATTCTGTGGAATAGTAGAGAGCGCGGTGCATGAAGCACAAAGGATAGCAAGAGAACGTGAAGCGCAACGTAGCGCGTGATGGAGGAAAACATCCACGAACGTATTCGCAGCACGGAGTGTGACACCCTTCTTTTCTACTTTCCGCTACGCTGACACACACACACGCAAGTGCGAATGTTATCGCTGATGCCATTCTCTTCTTTATAAAATGTTAAATCTAACGCTCCGTTGATGGCGCTAAAAAGTGAAAAAACAAAATGGTTTTATTATCAACAGTAGCCGAGACAAAAGAAGATGAAGAAAGGAAATTTGATAGCTGAGAATGGAACTGTGCGACCTCACTGCCGTCCGCGTGTGACGCCACACCGTCTGCGCGAGTTTGTGTGCTCACAACGCCGTTGACAGCACGAGTGAAGTGACGAGGAACGGAAAGGGGAAGGAAAAATGCCATTGGCCTCCTCACCAGTGCGCACATCCAACCGGAGCCTTCTTTCCCTGTCTGCTAGATGCGTGCACTAGTGGTGGGCCGTCGCACTCTCCGTCTTTCTGCGCAGGGACTCTCTGTTTCTTGAACGCCGGTGGATGATTTCCAATGCAATAACTTCAAAAGGAGCCAAACAAACGAGCAATCAAGGGCTCTTTTCCAATGGCTAACACCCATTATTTTACACCTCGGTTTTTTTGGTAAAGGCAGGCGAACGGTGCGCTTCATTGCTCATACCCGCGGTTTCTCCCCTGACCATCTTCCTTGGTTTCTCTTTTGGTGTGGAAAGAGTTGTGGGTACGCATGCAGTCACTGCGAAGTGCGTGGAATCTGTGAGCAGGCAAGCAAAAAGAACCCCATTTTTTTTCTCGAGTTGAGCTCCGTCGTGACGAGGTAGTGGGCGTCTCAATGAACAACGTGTGCTTTTGTTTTCTTCCGTTTCACTGCGAACGTGCCTTTCCACTCTCTCTCTTTTTCTTTCCCCGTTTTGTTTCTGTCTTCCGCTGCTCATCTTTCGCGTTTCAGAAATCATGCGCTCTACAGCGCGACGCGTTGCGCAGGGCACGGTGCTCGGACAGGCACTGCACTCCGCGACTCCTCGAACGACAACATATGCCGTTCTCCGGCCTTCGATAGTGTCGCGATGCAATGCAGCGTCCTCGCCGTCTCTTTCTGCTGCCGCCATCGCCACCGCACGGCGCCGCTACACCATCGCCACCCGACCACTGCGACAGTCGTGGAACAGTAACCGAGTGCGGCCGTGGATGTGTGGCAAGAAAGAGTGCCGCACAGTGAACAAAGCCGTCGCGATGCAGTGTGAGGCGTGTGGGACGGCGCAGCCGGTGCGGCAACGCTGGAAGTGCGTTGACTGCGGCACGGCCAACTTCGCTGGGGTAAAGCAGTGCAAGCAGTGCAAGGCTCCGTCCGAGCGGAGCAAGGCGTTTTGGATGTGCGCCGATTGCGGCGAGAACAACCGCATTGACGAGCTAGAGGACAACAGCATTTGCGGGTTTTGTGGCTACGACATGGCCCCACGCACGGCGGCCCAAGAGGAAGCGTTGCGCCGCACCCACGAAGCAGCCGCCGCGCTGCGGCAGCAACAGGAGAACTACGACTCTGTCACGTACAAAGACGCCGACGACCAGTTTGCCGACCCACTTGAAGGGGCGCAGAACCTCGATCCGTCATTGCGCGCGCCGCAACCGTCCTTCGTTACGGTGAACAGCGGCTTCGCTAGTCAAGGTCTGGGCAGCGACGGCGACAGTGGCTTTGCCAACGGTAGCGACAGCGGCGGAGGTAGCGGCTTCGGTAGGCAGCGTTTAAAGATCCCAAAGGTGGGGCCCTACACCCTGGCTGATCAGAATACCGCCACCCGGCACTCCTCTATTCATCGCCGGAGCAGACGTAGCTCAGCCGCGAAGGCAGTGTTCGACGCGTCACACGATCCGGTCGGTCCGCCAGGTTTTGATTGGATGTGCAGAGCCGCCAGCTGCGGACACATCAATCCGGGTGATGAAGAAAACTGCCTGCAGTGCGGGTTGCACGTTAAACCGAATGAGTGGGAGTGCCTCCTGTGCGGTGCCATGAACCACCTCAGTCGCTCGCGCTGCTTCCACTGTCACACGACGATCCCGGTGTGCTGGACGTGCACGGGCTGCAATACGGCAACGAGCATCTACGATAAGGTCTGCCGCAGCTGCGGGCTGGAGCGTCCACTGACGGAGCCGAAGCATCTGCGGGAGATTGATGCCGACGACGACTACCGGAGAGCCGGCGTCACGGCACAGAAGGATGGGCGGCGTGGTGAGTGGTACTGTCCGGGCTGTCACCAACTCAACTTTTCTCGACGCTCCGAGTGTTTTCAGTGCGGCACGGCGCGACCTGCGGCAGGCACCACCGCCGGGGAGGAAGATCCTTTTGCGATGACGGGCTGGGGTGCTGGTGCCACCGCCCTGGACCAATCTGCCGCGCCGAGGGCGCCGCTGCACAACAACTGGATCTGCACGCACTGCCAGGCAAGCAACTTCCGTACGCGGCACGACTGCTGGAAGTGTGGCCGTGCGTCGCAGAACCAAAATGAGTGGTCGAATGAGACGATCGCGCCGCAGTTCGAGCACGAGGGCTTCCAAACCGGCGCAGATGACAAACCCGCGGAGGGGCAGATGAACGAGCAGTGGAAGGTGGACAAGGACAAGTGGACTTGTGCGAAGTGCTACGCGCAAAACTTCAAGAACCGCCCGGAATGCTATCGATGCGGCGCGAGCAAGACGACTGTGATGGCACCACGCCGCACCAAGGCGCGCCGACCGGTGAAGCTGTAAAGGAGGAGCGCCAGGCACGAGGAGGCATGGGGTAGTAGAAGCGCGTTCGAGCAGCTTCGTTGCATAGACGTGCGTTCGTGCCAAAGAGCGCACTTTCGGTGTTGGGTGAGGTGACGAATGTGTTGTTTTCTTTCCCATTGCTTGGGAATGTTTCGATCTTCACAACAGAGGCGACTGGTTAGTATGATTTGCTGCTATGGCTTGTTGTCATTGCAAAAGATTCAAGAGTGTGGACATGTTTGTTTGAGATGAGGAGGACCGAAGAACTGACCTTTTGTGTTTCTTTCTTCGGGGTGTTTTCCTTTGAATGCCGGCGTACTTCTATTGCGGCTGTCTGCGTTGTTATCTATTTCCCAGGCGTTGTCCTAATTGCCTGTGTCAGTTCGTGAAATTGCCTGGGGTGTTGATCCATTCGTTTACATCTACGTAAAGGAAGGAAAAACGACAGACTACAGTGACGGTAGTAGCGATACGCACCTTGTTCGTATTCCATCTCCGTGACACGGAGGCGCGTATATACATCCGTATTTTTTGAATTGCTGCCTTCTTGAGGCAAAGGAATGAGCGGCCCAAGAAATTCTACCTGCTCTTCTCTTTGTTGTTGTTCTGATGTGTGTGCTTGGGTGTGTTTGTTGGCTGTCATAAAGATGCTAAGTGATATATTTCCTTTTTTTTTTCACAAAATGGCGCTGGGTGTCGCACCAGCATCCCTCTCTCAAGTCGCATCACCACAGCAACTATTCCCACCACCCCCTTTTGTTGTTGTTGTTGTTGTTGTTGCTCAACTTCTCCCTAGCGCATATCTAGCTGACAGGCCCTTCGGTTATTAACCGCCCCGACGCATCGGCGTGTACGTATTGAGAGGGGCTCCCGGTGGAACTATGAGAGCTTTCCCCTTCGTGATGCGAGGTGCCATCGCACCACCGACAGCGCGCTTCTTCTGCGGAGTAACGCGGCGGCGTCGAGCAAATTTGGTTGATGGTGTCTCTCTGCACCTACCACCCCAGCGAGAAGCCCATCGCGTGCGCGGGCAACGATCGCTTTCAAGTCTGTCTACCACAGACGATGACGACATGCTGGTGCGCATGCTGGTGCAAGATGCTTTCCACCCACCCGCGAAGGACAGTGCATCTTCGATACGGAGCACCGGCCTTACGCCGCCGAAAGAAATACCAGATGCGGTCGACGGGCAGCGCGAGGAAGACGGAAAGGAGACATCGACTCTTGACGCGCATGCGGAGGCCGACGACCGCAGCCAAACCCCCGCTGCTCCACCGCCAGACGAGGATGGTGTGAGAATACCAGACACTGTACCGACATCGACAGAAAGCCATTTCAACGGTCTTAGCCCCACTACCTCCTCTGCGGCAGCGAACGCCGAGGCTTCATGTGAAGCAACGGAACAGGGTCAGCACAGCACCGCCACCGACGCTCGCCGCCTTCACGCCACGGCGGAGCCTTTTGCAACTGTTCGACGAAAAGCGTCCCCGACGTCCACAGCGGCGCGCTCTGCGGCTTCCTCCCTTGGCGATGAGGATCAGCTGGAATGGATGTGTCTGAAATGCCAGACCTATAACTCTCTGTCAAGCAGCAAAGAATCGTGCCGGAACTGCGGTGCACCCGCGGCCGCGTCGCACCGAAGCACAAACCCGCCGGTTCGCCACGTCGCACTCATGCCGCCGATGTGGATGTGTACGCACTGTGCCCATTTGAACACCACCGCTTCAACACCTCCGCCAAACGCTACGCCTCGTGCGCAGCGCAGCAAATTCATGTGTGACAGCTGCGGAAACCCATTTACCGGCGTGCAGACGTGGACGTGCCCGCAATGCGACCATGTGTGTCCGCGAGCCGCAACGCAATGCCCCACGTGTTTTTCGCAAAGACCGGTGCAGTGGACGTGTCGGGCATGCAGACACGCCATGAACAGCGTCTTCTCTCTTCGCTGCCGGCAGTGTAAGGTAGAGCGCCCAACGCGCTACTCGAACGCGCTCGTCCGCTGTGCCTTTTGCCGCGACTGGAACGACGCTCGCTGGGAGCTGTGTGCGACCTGCATGGCCCCCACAACTGTCATGTTTGAGGAGGTGGCACCAGCTTCGCGCAGCAGCGGAGAAGAGGAAGCGCGAGACCATCTCAAGGATCTGCGCGAGCGATGGAAGCACGTAGTGGACCCGTTAGTGCGGGATTCAAAAGGACTCTTGCACTCGAAGACGGTTGAGGGCGCCCGTCAATGTTCGCCGTCGAGTCTGCCAGAGAATGCCGCACGCGATGGGGATGCCAAATTGCAGCACGCCTCCGTTTCGATCGCCGCGCGTACAACCACGGCAATCCCACCTCGGCGCAAGCGCACACCGGTGCCGCTGCTGGACAGAGCGTGGTGGTGCTCCACCTGCAACGTCCCACAGCGGCGAAACGCGAGTTTCTGCGACATATGTCTTCAATCTCGCGACCACGTTCAACGACTCCAGCGGGAGCAGGAGGAGAAGTGGAAGGCAGAGCGACTGGCCAGTCCCGCAGCCCCCGGTACGACGGCTGCAGAAAACCGCTCCGTCATCCCCGCCATCGCGGATGGTGACTGGCGTTGTCCGTACTGCTGCTCGATGCACAGTGTGGAGGAGCACCAGTGCTGTGGACATCAACGCGAGGTGCCACCAGGCTACTGGTTGTGCAGCCAGTGCGGCAGCACCAATCGTCAAGACCGTGTGGCGTGCCTGGGCTGCGGACAGGCGCAGGAGCGCGTGTGCGCCTGGACGTGTGTGGAGTGCAGTCACAAGAATGCAGGAGAAGCTCTTATTTGCGGACAGTGCGGTATCCCACGTCAAGGGGTTGAGCACAGCGTTGCTACCGGTGCTGAAGTGACCACGGGCGACGGTACGGCGAGCACTGCTGCGCGCGCTGGGGACGCTGCTCCCACGCGTATTGTGTGCCCCGTGTGTGCGGCACCGAACTGGGCGGAGCGGTTGGCTTGCTACCGCTGCCGCGCGCGTCTGCACAACTTCGAGTGGACCTGCCAGGCTTGCGGGCACGGCCATCACGATCGTCAGGCGACTCGATGCACAAACTGCAAGGCGTTTCGCACCTTCGACTTGAGTGAGGAGGTGTGGGTCTGCGAGGTCTGTTCCACGACGGTGTACTCGGGTGGCGAGCTGCCGGTGCGAACGCAGTGCCCTAAATGCCAGGCGGCGCGGGCGGCCACTACACTTCACTTCCCTGCGAGGTGGCAGTGCCCTTGTGGGGTGTACAACCGCGCGCGCATCTCTGCCTGTCCGGAGTGCGGCACGCGGCGCCGGCTGCCGTCGCTCCACACCGTTCTCAGCTGCCCCCACTGCTTCCGCGACACAATTCTCAACGTGAAGGAGGTGTGCGAGCACTGCAATGAGTCTCTGAGCGACTGCTTCGAGGATTACGAGAGCCGGATCCGGGCAGACGGCATAACGCGCAGCCTACGTGATAGCCGCCATGAGGCCGGCGACACAGAGGACGGAGAAGATGCCGAGGTTGCCACGGTTCTCGATGGCTCGACGCAGTAAGTTGAGGAGTGGCGTCTCGGTGGGCCGTAGAGCGACCTCTGCGGCGGTTTTTCCTTCTTTTTTTTTTGTTGTGTGTGTTCACATATCTTCTTCTCCCTTTGTGATTGGGAAAATACGCAAAAAATACGGTGACCATACGAACGCGGTGAGAGTGCAACTATGTGTCAAGCAAAGAGCACCTCGGTCGGTGCCGGGTGCAGCGGCGGTATGTGACATTCCGCGGCAACAACGACTGCTGTTTTTATGCATGCACGAAGACCCCGAGCCACTATTTCTCACTGTGTTTCCTTCCTGTAACTCTCCTTCGTTGTCTTTGCATTTGGGATGCTACCTCCTGTCGAAACGCGCTCTGTTTGGCTTCCCCAGTGCTTTCCATTCGCACCTCGGTAGTTAGTTGTGTCGGAATCGCTTTCCTCGCCTCGATATCTACGCGCGAACAGCGAACGCCTGCTAACACGGAGCCATTCATTTTTCTGTCGTCAGCGCCAGCATCACTTATTTGTTCGATCGTTGAAAACACCCTCATGTGAAGCAGAGAAAAAAATACAGTGAAGGAAACCGTTTTCACGCTGCTGTTTTTGGTTGCAGTGCGCACGAGGAAGCTAGTTCGTGCTCTTCGTTTTCCTTTGTGTGCTTGTGTGTGTGTGTGTGTGTGTGTGTCTGTATGCTGGTGCGCGGATCTCGGTTTGAATTTCTTTTTTTTTACTGGAACACGTCGAAGCAATAATCGGCTCTTCAGCAAAAACAAGGAAATAACAAACAAACAAATAAACATTAGGCGGCGGGCCACGATCTAACAGACCGTCGTTGTTGGGACACTACCTCCTGCCTTTGTTCTGCCTATTCGACCTTTTTTTTTAAAGCTTTAAACCCTTTTCCTCCACGTTGTGGAATAGCGCACCTTCGTCTGCATCGTTCCCCCCAAAGCAGCTGTCAGCGGTTGCATCCACCCCTTCCCGTTACTCATTTCTTTTTACACCTGTGCACTTTTTTCTTGCTCTCAACCATCTTTCCTTTTTTTTGTTTTAAAGAACTACGTGTTGAATTCCTTTTCTTTTTTGTTACCTCGCTTCCTCAGCAACGCCAACAAACACACCTTCACGCCAACAGCAGTAAAGCGAAGATGGAGGAGAACAGCTGGATCACGGAGGCGCTCGTCCAGTTTTCGGAGTCGCCGCTGTGGAAGACGCCCGTGGAGAACTTCATCGACGACAACTGCTGCATTTTCAGCGTCGACTCCGAGATGAAGTTGGAGTACACCGTCGTCCACAACAAGTTCAGGGAGCTCGTCGACAGCCTCCTCACCAGCTGTGTGGTGGAGCTCGGCGTACCGATGGAGACGGCGGTGGAGGCGTTGCGCGCAACTCTGCACGAACACGGCAGCGATTCCGACACCCGCACGCAGCGCCGCGCCGCCAAGAAGATGCTCATGCAGGTCTTCAACGCCGACAACTTCTCCTCTTTTTACACGATGATGGTGAAGCGAAACCTGGAGCTGGACATTCTGGCGAGCGCTTCGTTGACAGCGCGCGGGGTGAATCTGGGCGATGGTGCGATGACCACCTCGGCGGAGCTGCAGGATGAAAGTGAGGTGATGCCGGCCCGTGCGCAGCGCGCGATCGACGCGAACGGCGACGTGGGCGAAGACGAGGCGCTGCGTCGCGCCCTTGCAGCTTCCTTGCAGGACCCGAATTCGCAAGAGCAGATGCGCGCCTACAGCGAGGTGTGTGCGCAGGAGAGCGTGAACTTGCAGGTGGAAGATGCGGAGCGCGATGCGCAGCAGCAGAAGATCCAGCTGGAGGAGGCTCTACGCGGCCGTGCGAGGACGCCAGAGGTGGAGCAGTTCCGCAAAGAGCGTCTGCAACTCATCGAAGAGCAGAAGAACTCACAGATTGTGCAGATCCAGAACCACACCCTGACCGGCGCGAACCAGAGTTCCTACAACGATAACCGGTGCCTTACCGCTGAGTTCAGCTCCCCTGCGATTCCCGAGGCGGTGCCTCCACCGGCGCCGTCGCCGAATAGAGCGAAGAATGCGGCGCCAACCGTTGCGCCGGTTGCTTCGGTGCCTGCTCAACCACCTGCACCGACGGTACCTCCGCCGAGCACTGCCCTCCCTCCTATTGGCCATCAGCAGGGGGCGCTTCCCTCCATCGCACGGAAAGCGGCCGCAGCTTCGCCGACCGGCTCTGCGGGTTCCGTGGCGCCGTCCACCACTGCCCCCGCCGCGATGAACGCGGCTGCACCGCCTGCTGCGGCGACCGGGCCGAACAAGAAAGAGCTCGACCGACGTGCACAATACATGCGGGATCAGCGAGAGATGATTCTGGCACGCAACCGCGCCTCCCGTCAACAGCAGCTGAACTCCTACGTCCAGCACACGCAACCGTCCGCCGATGCGTCGTCCGGTGCTGCGGCTGCAACGGGGGCGCAGAAGAATGTGACGGTGGAGATCGCACGACGGCTGCGCGGTGACCTCGTCGGTGAGGGCCGTAAGAGCGCGAACTGAAAAATGAGAACGTGCGCACTACGCACGTAAATCGCCCCCAAAAAGAAAGCGTAAAATAGTGTACATGCTGTGGAACGGCCTCTGACGCATCTTCCTCGCAGTTGAACGTGCACCGTGAATTCGGGGATATCGAGCTGAGAAAAAACGAATGGTATTCACAAGCTCTACGCTGTGTGCATGGTATTCTCTGCTTTGTAACGCGCATTTGCATTTGTTGACGCTTTCCTCCTCTTTTATGCCTACGTTGCCGCTTTCTTCCCCCCTAGCTTGTGTGTATATGCGGGCGTTTGTGCGCTATCCTCTCTGGCGTACACCACCGAAAGATATGTAAAGTTTGAAGTAATATGTTCCGGTATTCATCTCATTGTGTGATATTTGTGTACACGAGCACCTGTGAGTTTTAGTACGTGAATGTATGTGGGTGGGTGTAACGTGTTTTCAAAGACTGGTGGAGCACTATGAAGTGGAAGTGTAGTCAGCACCATTTTATGTTGCAGCCCGACCAGCAACAAGTGCTGAAGCACGGGGTTTATTCAATTTTTGGTCTCGCCTTTGAAAAATCAACACGCCAAAAAGGAACATGACTGACTTGGTAGTCTTGGCTAGCCACATGTTGCAGCGCAGGTTGCGGCCTCAGGAGGCCGTGTCGGGTCATTGTTCACTGTACCGTCGCTTTGCACTTCGTTTATTATTATTATTATTATTATTATTATTGTTGTTGTTGTCTCCTGCTTCCTTCACGGGTTATCATACAATGAGGGGAGGCCATTGTGGGTTAGTGCTGCCCTCCGACGTCGAGAGTTTCGTCCCTGTTCTTTGAATCCTGCGGTAGAAGCGGGCGATGAATGGGGTGCACCTCACATTCTACTATCAATGCTCGCCAAATGCTTCATCTCCCCCTCATCCTCTTTTCTTAACCTGTTCTCTCCCCTGTTTTCTGATCTATTGATTCTGCAGTTTAAACAATCCCTAAGCCGAGATTCGAGTTTCCCCGTTCGTGTCGCGCAACACCCCTGTAATCCAAACGTGGTACTTGTTTTTGTGAACGTTGTCCGTTTTTCTTTGCCCTCGAAAAGGAACTTCTTCTTCTTGGTCTTCTGCGGCTGCTTTTGTACACTAACAGAAGCACTGGAGATATCACACAAGGAAGATTCTTTTTTTTTTAAAGGAAAGCAACAGGAAGAGCAACTCTACTACTCTGCCACTCACACATACATATCCGCACAGGTGCGTAGCGTTTCTGATCGTTGTATCTTCGACGTTTACCGAACAAGCCAAACCGAAAAATAACAATGTCCGCCAAGAACAAGGAAACGAGCTCGTCGCACGAGCCTGCGAACGAGCCAGTGAACGAGGAACCGCACACCGAAAGCGAGAACGGCGAGGAGCCGGCGAAGAAGAACAAGTACGACCGTGGCGGCAAACATCCCGTGGTGGGTCTGATCATCTACTGCGTCCTGCAGTTCGTCGCCTTGCTTTTTGTCGTTATTGCGACCCCGATTGCTATGTTCAAGATGAACAACGAGTGGCGCAACAAGGTGTACCCGCAGCTCGCCTCGTCGTCAAAGCAGCTTTGCGTGAGCGCCTGGGGCATGAAGCTTGGCTGCAGCCAGACGGGCTACTACAACCGCGACTTCACCCACACCTTCTGCTACCGCGTGCGTGTGAACTTCAAGGTCGTAGAAGCGTTCTGCATCATGACGATTGGCTTCATGGTGCTCGGTCTCGCGATGGGCCTCTTGTCGGTCATGCAGAAGGTCACCAAGGGTTCCGCTGGCGCCATCGGCGCCTTCGCGATGTTGCTGTGCATCGTCCCGTGGAGTATCATTGCTGGCATGTACTACCAGAAGCCGTGCTGTGAGACGACCGGCTGGAACACCGACAACAAGGTCCGCAACTGCCAGGGCAACAACACGAACATCGTCAACGAGGACATCCCCGGCTTCAAGACGATGGGCAACTACGGCCCTGGCTTCGGCTTGCTGGTGGCCGCCTGGGCACTCCAGGTGGTGGGCATCGTTTTCGCCTTCGCCCCGTTGTAATCGTCGCATCGGCGGCGAGAGGGGGAGTCGCGGTACGCAGAGAGTGAGAGGGGGGAGAGAGGCGTGACGACGCAGTGTCTCACGGTAGGGCTTTCACACACACACTCACACAGGTGCCCACGTGTACAGGTGAGCGTGCGTTTGCCGTGGAGACAACTGCGCAAATCCCTCTACTACTCCCACTCTATTTCTCTTACTTTGTCTTCGTTTTTCTTTTCATTGCTGTGATGAACACGCGCAACTTCAAATTGCCTTCTTAGGAAAGAAAAGAGGGGCGAGCGAAAGCAGAAAATTTGTGGTCTTGCACCTCCGTGCACTGGCACGTTTTCCTCCCAGCCTGTTCACGCCCTCTCTTGTGGTCGTGTTTATTTTTTCCCCGGTAAGAGTATTTGTAACGTGCGTGGATAGCGCTGCTTGCGCGTTGACATGGCGGATAAAAAGACGACGTCAGGTCGGAGGTGCTCGATTTAATGAAACTGCGGAAAAATGTTCTTTTTCTAGGGATTTAACGCGTTTCCTAATACAAAAGATTAAGCGAAAAATGTTAAGAAGAATAAGCGTGTGATGTACACTGTAAACGCTACGAAAAATGAAGCAATAGATTTGTACGGCGTTAAAGGTAAAGTGATATATATTAACCATCTTCAAATAGGCATCTTGCATTTCCACTGCATCCTTCAGTTTTCTTCGTTTTTGATTTCGAAAGAAAGGAAAACGTTTATCTTGGTTCTGTTGTAGAACCTAGCAGGACTGATTACTCACTTTGGCTCTGGAGCCGCAGAAGAAAGTGGGATACAATGCGAAGAGAGTTCAAGAGGCGAGGAGTGAAAGCAGGAAGAAACATAAACTATTTTTTGAACGTATCAAACTGGTCACTTTTCTAGCTTTTTTTTTCTCTTCTCGGTGCACATAGGCGTAGTGAATGCAGACGCAACTAGAATTCAAGTAACAAAATACATACTTTGAATCAACAGAAAACATATGGTGACTGCGCCACTGTAGGGCACTGCGAACAACGCATGGGCAGATACGCTGCTTGTGAACGCTCGCAAACGAAACCAGATTGCCCACATTTGCGCACATCTGTTTGCGAAGGTGGAGCACTTTTTCTTTTTCGGAAGGTTACAACGAAGGCTTCCCGACAAGCATATAACTCTTTCTCTTGGTTTGGGTAATATCTGATGCGAATGTGCGCGGTGCATCGTTTCAAGAGAGGAACGTCTTGGCGACCTTCTTTTCGCTCGTGTACACCGCTTTGCAGTGTACGCGTGTCTTCACTTTCATCTACTTGCTGGGGGGACCACCACCAACAGAGGAAATTTTCTTGCTTGTCCCACTCTTCTCGTCTCTCCCTCTTTCGCGATTCCTTTTCTTTTTTCTTCTGCTCTCGGATGTTTCATTTCGCTTTGAGGGCGACTGAGAAGACCCCACAGCCTTTTTTGTTACAATAGAACTTTTCTTTCCGCTCTTCCTTGTAGGTTGCACACGACTTGAACAGCGAGAGAGAGAGAGAGAGAGAACTGCATAATAGATTACCCTATCCCCCTCCTCCTGTGTTCACCTTTTCCACTACGGAGAGACCATGTACGCGTCATACGCTGTAGGTGGCGTCTCAGACGGCACTTTCACGCAGGACCCGCGTGTCTACCGTCCTCCTCTGGCACCGCCACCGCCGTCTTCCTCCATTGCTATACAGCAGCTCCTCTGCGACGAGATAGAGGGCCGGATGAGACTCGCATGTGACGCGCTGACGGACTTCCAGCGCGTTGTCGGCCTCTGCGTCTCGGAGCGGTTTGGACGCTGGACCTTTACGTTAGCCCCATCCATGCACAGCGGTAGCGGGTGGTGCTGCCCGCGCTGCGGCTACTCCCAGCAAGACGCCGAAAGCGATGGGACTGCGCTGCAGTCGAAGGTTCATAGCAAGACCGCGGCAGCGAAGGTGCGAGATCTTTTTGCCCACGGCAGCTGCAGGACACCTTTGTGTTCTGCTGACGAATTGCGCAGGACGTCGGACCGCTGCCAGTACGCCGCAGATGCGTCTGCACTTTTAGAAAAGAGGTACATGTTCCAGCAAGAGTTTGGTAGCTTGCTGCAACGCATCAGTGCGGCTAGCCGCGGGATTCAAGACAGTGTTACGCGTTGATGCTGCTCTTCAACACACAAATTTCACCTTCCCTACTTTTTTTTTAGACTACTGTTCACTTGCTCCATCACTGGTACAAAAAAAGAAGACGGCTGCAAGAGTGAGCGAGGTTTGCCGGGGCTCGCATTGCAGGCGGCAATCGCACACAGCGACAACACCAAAACGGGGAAGAGGTCTCTCTTTCCTTTCTTTTTACTACTATTTGTGCAATATATATATATGCAAGCGCGCTTTCACGCGATCGAAACACAAGACGTCCTCCACTCCACGTTAATGTGAAGATACATATATGTTTAGCGCTCTATCACTTTCCTTGCTCTTTCTCTTCCCTTTTCCCTCTGCTCACTGCACTAACTTTGCCTCATGGCTGCGATCACGGAAGTGAGTGTGTATGTAAGCGTGTGTGGGTGCGCGAGTTTCAGCGTACATCGTCTTCGCGTTGCGGTTGTATTTGCGGCCAGTGACCTGTGTGCTGCGGCGACATATCAGCTGCTCTTTTCTTTTGTGTTGGTTGATATCTTTCAACGCGTACAGTTTCCTGTGGTGAAGATCGCAGCCATACATATCCATTTTTGCTGTGATGCGTTTGGCATCTTTCTCTGGACGGTTGTTTTGGACTCCCACATTAATTTACCTGTGTCACTGACTTCGCAATTCTTCTCCGTGGCTGCACAGGGCATCAAAAGCTTTATCGAGGGTCTGATGCATAAAGAGTTGTGTCATCTCCCAAAGAACTAGTTTTTGTTTTTATTGTTATTATCTCTGCGTTGTGCAGTGTATTTCAGACATCGCCAATGAAATTCCGTGTGCTCGGCGGCCCGTTGACGGGCGGCATCAACTTAGAGGCGAAGCACTCCGACACCTTCAAGTCCATCTTCGAAAAACTTGAAAAGGCAGCTGGCAAGAAGACGCCTCTTGACGGCTACGACCTCTTCACCGCGGCCAAATCTGGCTCTGCAGGGCACTACCAACCCGCAGCGGGGCCACTGCACTCCACCGAGACCCCCGACTCCGTAGAGCTGGATCGCACGCAAAACGACCCGCACATTCTCTTGCTCGTGCGCCGCGAAGGACCCGACGCGGGTGGGAGCATGACCCGCTCGCTCTCGGAGAGCAACAGCGCAGTCAACGGCGCCGGCGGTCTGGGTAGAGAGAAGGAAACGTCGCCCACCTCCATGTCCCCGATGGATACTCCTCGTGCGAAGGAAAACTACCGGCGGCGCATGCAGGCGATGTTTCTCAAGTACGACCCCGCCAAGGTAAAAAAGGTAGATGTCGCGTTGGAGCACTACGCGGGTTTCGAGGAGGACGTTATCCAGCAGCTGGTGAAGAAGTACGGCCCCGAACCGGCTGCAGGCGAGTTAGACACGTCGCCCGCGGCCATCGCAAGCGCCAGCAGGAAACCGGACAATGGCGCGTCATACCGCGACCGCCTCATTGCGATTTACTCTACCTACGAACCCGAGAAGCTCAGCAAGGTTGACGGCACCCTTAAGCGATACGCCGGTCGGGAAGAGGAGGTGATTCAGCAGCTGCTGAAGAAATACGGACCAGAACCGCCCGTCCCCACTGCGACGTCGCCAGAACCGCGAGTGCCGGCCGCCACCGCCTCTACGGCGACTACCATCATCATGAGTGAGGCACCACCGACACCGATGACAGGCGGTGCTGCTACCACCACCGCGGCGGACTCACTGCCCGTCACGCCGCGCAACTTGCAGGATGACTACGGCAGCAATACTGCGTTGACTTCTGCGGCGCCATCGGCTCCGGTTGGTACGGCGCCAGCTGCCTCTGAGGGCCCGCTGACCTATCGAGATCGTCTCACCGCCATGTACGCCACTTACGACCCTAAGAAACTGCGCCTGGTGGACGGGACGCTCAAGAAGTACAAGGACCGTGAAGCGATGGTGTTGAAGCAGTTGGTGAAGATGTACGGTCCGGAGCCGTCGCCGGAGCACATCGCGGCCGCCAAGGAAGCCGCAGCGTCCGCAGCGCGGGCACGAAAGGCCAGCGATGAAGCCGCTGCCGCTGCTACTACTGCTGGGGACGCCGGTTCGTCGGCCGCGCCCCCAATGGGAGGGGGCGAACACGCAGAGAAACGACTGGCATCGGGGGCAGCCCCTGTGTCGGCTGTCGCGGAGGTGGCGGTGACCCCCTCCCCCATCGAAGACGCCGCCACCGCTTCGTCGCCGCCGCTTGACCCATCACCAGTGGCACCGAAAGGGATCGAGACGGCAGCAAATCCGATTGCGTCCGATCCTGAACTGAGGGCTGCGACGCCGGTATTAGCAGATGGGAGGGAAGAGGGAGGTCGTTATCGCGAACGACTGCTAGCCTTGTACCACACCTATAACCCCAGCAAACTCCACACCGTAGAGGGCACGCTGAAGAAGTTCGCAGGAAAGGAAGAGGTAGCGATCCAGCAGCTGGTACGTCGCTACGGCCCGGAGCCGCCTGCACTGACCGATGCGGAGGTGCAGGAGCTGCTCCAGACTGTCGGCAGCAGCTCCCCCATGACCTCCCCACGCGCACCAAACGCCACCGCGAAGGCAATCCCCGCAGTGGTGCCGGACAACGCCTCTTCCTCTTCCTCGCCATACAACTCAAAGCCGGCCTCGCCTGTCGAGGACGACGAGGTCGATAGGGAGGAGGAGGGCGAGGACCGGGCACGTTACAAAGGAAAAGGAGCGGAGGCAGCGGTCACGCCGGAGCAGCGCAACGGCGCTCACAAAAGCGATGGAGCTGAAGTGACGCAGAGAACTGCACAGGCGAGTCCCGTCTCTCCGTTCGTGCTGATGGAAAATACGGCCGCTGCTGCTGTTATTACTGCCCCTGATCCTTCCCAGCGCCCGTCTACGCCGCCTCCGGCGCCAATGGCTGTCGAAACGGCCGGTTTCTCCGCCGGCGTTGCTGCTCTCCCTTCTCCTACAGAGGCGAAGACAGACGTGTCCGACGATGACGCCACGCGTCCGACGGCACCGCCGAGTCAGCGCAGCTCCTCGTACGACAGCAGCCGTAACGCACCGGCACCGCAGGCGGAAGAGGAAGAGGAACCTGAGCCGCTAAAGGAGGCGGCTGCACCGTTGCCGCCCCATTCTACGACGACGGTAACGTCGAAAACAGCAATCGGTCTCCCACCAGCTTCTCTTCGCCTTCAACCACACCCAGTGGAAAAGCCTGTGTATCAACAACACCAGCCTTCCCTGCGCGCAAACAAATTTGTCGCCGTTGCGAAGGTTGCTGCCGATCACTTGGAGCTCTTCGCGCGGAAAGCGCTTCTGCAACGCTATTGGTCGAGCTGGTGTCGACACCACGTAAAAGCGAAGGCAGACGTGTTGGTGCGAGACGAGCTCTGGGTAGCGACCACCACTACCACCTCTTCGTATAATACGATGAATGGGCGGGCGGTTGCAAGCCACAAACGCTACCAGCTAAACGATACGGTTCAACCGTCGTACACGGTGGCAGACCTTTCAACGGTTGTCGCGCAAGAGGAGCGACGCACGACGGGCTCATCTGCCGCGTTCTCGAGTGAGGTGCAGATCGGCGCGCGCACGCTGCTGTCTGCGCTGCGTCACTGCGTCGAATCGCGCGTGGTGGAGGTGCGCTCCGCCGAGGAGGAGGAACTCGCGAATCGGTTCCTTTCCCACTGGAAAGGTGCAGACCACCTCTGCCCGGTGACGGACTCGCCGGAGTTTGCGCGGGCGCTGCATCAAGCCGCGCACTTGATCGTGCAGTTAGACGACCTCATGACGGTGATACGCACACAGGCCGGGCAGCTGCAGCAGCTGCGGAACCTGCACAAGGACGTGGTGAAGCGCATGGAGGAGATGGCGCAGGCGAGCGACGGCGATGTGGAGCGTCTTCAAGCACAGCTCGACAGCGCCAACGCACGCCGCCATGAACTCGAGGAGGAGTTGAAGCGCGCCGCCGCCCATCCCCGGCCCTCCGCGCGATCGCCGTCGGCGGCCGGACGAAAGGTGAATGACACCAGGAAGGCCTCCCCACCCACGCGCCGCGTGTACCCGACGATGGAGGAGCGCAAGGACGCGCAAATCGCCAGGCTGCAGCAGGAGCTGGCCAAGACGCGGAATACCCTCTTTGCCTCGAAGGAGGCGGAGGAGAAGATGAAGTTGAAGGTGCAGCAGAGCCTCGCGCGCGAAGCACGCCGCGAGCGCGAAGAGCGTCGTCGCGAGGGCCCTCCCGGGCACCACACCCGCCCTGACTCGCTCTCTCCCCAAAGACGCAGCTACTCCGGTCCGGCCGGTCAGCGCGGACGCCACACCTCCGCATTATCTTCCCCACGACGCGGTTACTCCGCCTCGACAACGCCGCGCGGTGCCTTCTCGCACGCCATCGTCCTCGACACTCCACGCAGGCCGTGTGAAGCGGAGGCTGAGGTGGAGCACAACGGGCGTGCGGTGTCCTCGATCCGGAAGTCAGCCCGCGACGCGCAGGAACGCAGCAACGTGTCAGTGAACAGCAACACGCCGTGGCCGACCAGCCGCTTCGTTGTGACGGAGGAGATCGAGCGCGGCCCTTGCCCAAATTGCCTCACCCCGCTCACGTCCTGCAGCCCCGACGCGAAGGGGCCGGCGAACGCGAAGGCCGCTTTTTGTTTCAGCTGCCGCCGCTCTTTCACGTTTGGGGAGCTGCGTGCCCGCGACGCCAGTGACACGTTAGCGAACCTCTAGACTGTAAAGTTGTATACACGCAGGTGCGAAAAGTACTGTGAGCTGAGGTCGCTGTTCGTCGGCGCTGTCCGTGGCAGCACGTCTATCGCCAAATGGTGTTCATACATAACTACTACGTGTGTGGTTTCCCGATATGTTTCACTATTCGTTTGGATTCAGCTACCTTTTTCTTTTTGTCTATTTTTCCTTTATTCGTAGCGCTCGTGTTGGTACTCACCATTGTGGACGTGAACGTGTACTGCGTGGTCTCGACCACGCCGCGTTGTTTTCCTTTTCATAACCGTCCACATGGCAGATTCAAGAGGTCCGAAGAGCGAAGGGGGGCAGAAAAAGTGGCCCTTTCCGAAGGACGTTTTGTGTAGGTAGACGAACAGAAGGATGAGAGTCCAAACCCCACAGATGAGGACGTCCGCCTCGTCAAGCTGTTTACAGGACAAGCGTGTTGGAGAGACAGGATGTATATCTGTGAGTGCGTGTGTGTCTGCTTGGGTCTCATACGGCGTCGGCACGCGCACGGTCACAACTGCTGAAATGCTGCGATGGCTCTTTACGCTCGTGCGGTCACGTGAAAATGCTGATCCCCTCTGTTTTTTCCTCGTGTACATCTGCGGTTAGCATCCCCTTCTGTTATGTCCTCCGTTGGCGTGCTTCAACACGTACGGTGCACAAAGACTGAAGGGCAAAACGTGCGCAGACGCTTTAACTTTTCTTTTCCGTTGTCGTTTCTGTTTTTTCTTCTTCTTTCTCTTTTCTTTTGCAGTCACACACAAATAAACTCAAACACTGACCAGACAGACACACATACGTGCTGGGACACGTTTTCTAGGTGTGTCGCGTATTGATTATTGCTCGTCTTCCTCCAGCTGAAACCACACGTCACATCCGTGAGGCATACGAGCACCATTCCCACAACGGCAACAAAAGGAAAATGTCGTCGCCGCTCACCAGCAACAATCGCATTAACATTCCGGCGGTGTGCCGGTTGCGGGACGTTCACACCAACGAAACCGTCGGCTCCGGCGTGCTGGTCGGACCCGGGCTGCTGCTCACGTCGTCCGTTGCCGTGCCGAGCCAAGCACGTGCCGCCCGCGTCGTCGCCACGTTCTTTGAGGGCACCAAGAAGACATCGTTGGATGTGGCTCTTCAGCCACAACGCTACTACTTCGCCTCGCGCTACCCGGAGGAGATGGACTACTGCTTTGTGCAGTGCGACGAGGCGCCGCTGCTGAACGTGACGCCCGCCCACGTCGCCCTCACCGAGAAAGGCTGGGCACCGGTGTCGGAGGGCGACATGCTGCTCATCGTGGAGCACCCCATCGGTGGTGGCGGCGCCAGCGACGGGGACGGCGCCTCTCTGGCGTTGCCGGGCTCCGGGGTCGCAGCACCACTTGAGAAGAGCGGTGGCGGCGGCAGCTATCCCACCCCCGCCGCCTCGCCCAATTCCAACGCATCGGGCACAATGGCGGTGCCCTACATGGAGCAGAAGCGCTTCGAGGAGGTGCTGCGGTGCCGCGGCAACCTCGGCTTTCTCAAATCCAACGGCAACTGGGTGACGGCGGGTTGTCCGGCCTTTAATGAAAACGGACAGCTCGTGGGCCTTCAGTCGCAGAGCCGGTCCGACGGCGAGGGCGTGGTGAATCGAGTGCTGCTGCTCACCTCCGTTGTGAAGCACATGTTTGCCAACGTGCAGCTGCCTCATCTGCCCCAAGAGGGCATCTCTTTTGAGGACATGTGGTCGACCTGGTACGTAACCAACGACGTTTCACGCATTGTAGCCATCCTGGCCAACTTCAAGGGAAAGACGATGGCGCAGCAGGTCACGTGCCGGCTGTGCGAGCTGACCGCCGATCCAAATTTGGTGAACAGCGTCGCCGACAATGGCGGCATCAACGTCATCTTGCAGAACCTGTCTCTGTTCGGCAACGACACCACGCTGGCCGAGGTGGGGCTGCGCGCCTTGTGGAACATCAGCATTGGCGAGGAGGCGAACTTAGCGAAGATATGCGAGCACGAGGGGGTGCGGACGATTGTGGAGGTCATGGAGGGCTTCCCGTCCAACGAGACGGTGCTGCAGCTTGGGGCGGTTCTCCTCCACAACATCGCCGGTTGCGCCGCGTCGCCGGACTTCGCGCACGAACTCGGCGACCGCGCCCTCAACGCGCTCTACCCCGGCTTTCAGCAGTACCGCGAGAGCGTCGTGCTGCAGAAGTTCTCCCTGAGCTTTTTCGCAACGTTGGTACGGCTCGATGAGCACTTTGCTCTCTACCTCATCCAGCACAAGATTGTGGATCATCTGATCCGCCTCATCGAGGAGAAGCCAAAGCAGATTTTTCTCATGGAGATGGTGGTCGGCCTCGTCGCTGAGCTCGCCCAATACCCCAAGACGATCGCCGTGACAAGCATGAACGTTGCCGAATACGGGGCGCTGAGCATGCCATACCTGATTGACTTGCTGATCCACCTCATTTTGGAGTACAAGGACTTGGACAGTCTCATGGTGAGTGGCAATCGTGCGTTGTGGGGGCTTGGCAACCTACCGGCGTCCCGTGCGACGATTCTTGAGAACCCGCGTGGCACGGAGGCGTTGCGCATTTCACTTCCAGCTGTAGTGGCGAGAATCCACCGTCAGTGATGTTGAGGTCCGGCCTTTTTTTTCCTTCTGTGTGTGTTCTGCATTCCGTTGCACTTCCTTCCTTTATTTATTTATTCTCGATGTACACGTAGGCTTTTTGTTTCCCACGACTTCTTGACCGCATCAAATGAATAAATAAGTAAATAAAACCCCGATGCTGATTTCTGTATCCAAATGAAAAGTTGTGTTCTGGAAACGCTTTTCTCGTGGATATCGCAAGCGAATGCTCGTGAACGGTGGATGCTACGGCTGTGTTCTCGGCGCTAATCTGGCGCGTATTTCCTAATGTACGCTGTGTTCCGACTCAAGCTTCTCCGTTCGCTCACTTTTGTTTCTCCTCCTTTCCTTTTCCCCTGCATCAAGGGAATCGTAACGCTCAAATCGAACGAACACCGCCTCTTCTGCATTCCTCGTCGTTTTGTACGACTGCAATCGTAGTTCCTTTTGTATTCTTTGCGTTGCTTCACAGACTTATTGAGGTCTGATACAATTGTGAAGCCGCATTTCTTTTTTGTTGTTTGCTTCTTTCTAGCTTCGCTGCCGCGCCATAATCTGCAGCTGCGTTAACGGTGATTCTTGGCTTTGGGGTCATGTTCTTGGAAGCCAGCTTTCCCCGACGCGGTGATTGAGTCCGCGTTTGCATTTCGCTACTGGTTTTGCTTTCTTCTTTGCTTGCGTTTGCTCTTTTCCACCGTCTTTCTTTGCAGGGGACTCGCCGTAATAATTCGAACCCGTCTGAGTCTCCACCTCCTTCGCCCTCTTTTGTCTTTCTCATTGACGTGGAGGTATTGCGCACTTTTACATGCCGTTCTTTATTGTTATTATTATTCTTATTTTCTTCTTGTAATTCGCACAGTTTGAATCCGTTAACTCACGCCGCTCAACGCATCCACCCTTCACGAAAAGCAGCGTACTGTCACTCTCTCGCATTGTGTCACTTGACGGTTATATACATTTTTGCGCATTATTATGATTATTACTTTCCGGAGACGTGAATGACTCTGCAAGAGTCATGTCCGCCCACTCTTCGCCGACGGTGCAGACCATGGAGATGCGCGATCTCGACACGACTCTCCCCAACGTAGACGGCGGCACCAACGTGATGGAAGTCGAAGCCCCGCGTCTGGCTCAGCTGCGGGGCAGCAACGACGACAGTCGCGCCGCGGCGGGTCTCAGCCAAGCGCAGTCACCTGCTCTCTCTCAATGCGTGTCGACGACCTCCTTCGCAGAGCTATCGGCGATGCCCACGCTGCCTCGCACCGCGGTACAGCCGCCTCCGCCAGCACACGCGTCGTCTACTTCGCTGACCTGCCTTGTCACCGCCATGCAGAGCGTTGAGTCGTCGCCGCCACGCTCAACGGGAGCGTCGGTCGTCCACTCGTATTCCACCCCCCGTCATGCAGCGGATATAGATGGCGGCGGCCACCCGTTGGCGCAACCGACCCCGCCTCGTCGCAACAACTCCTCTCTCAGCAACATGCTGTCTGTGCAGAGCAACATTGTCACCCCGGCGCTGAGTGAGGCGCACACCCCGCGTGGGGGTAGCGCTGTGCCGCAGTTGGCCGTCTTCAACAGCGTCCCTGCCACGCCAGTACCCGAAGAGCTTGTGGAGGAGTGTGATGGCGCACTCCACGAAACAAGCTGTGACGGCCAACCGCCCACGCAGGCCGCCCGTGTGGACGAGGACGGGGTCGTGATCGACGTCTCAGAGCCCGGCAACCGCAAAAGCAAGGCTGGTCGTCGCGACCACTTCCACGGAAACGTGAGCGAGGAAAACCTGGAGTTCACGAGTTTCGGTTTGGACGTTTCCTTTATGAGCGCCGCGTCGTCGACGGGCGGTCCGGGCGGGCGCAATTACGCCTCTCTCTACGGTGCCGTGTTTCACGTCTTCAAGGGCAACGTCGGTGCCGGTGTCTTCCTGCTGCCGACGTACTACAAAGACGCCGGCTACGTTGTCGGGCCGATCTGCATCGCGCTGCTTGGCGCTCTCATGGTGGATTGCACCGTCTCACTGCTGCACGTGAAGCACCGCATCAACCACGTCGAGGTCAAAACCTATCCCGCCGTCGTGGAGTTTGTGCTGGGTGATTGGTTTCAAAAGTTCACTCAGTTTGCCCTCGTGTTCACGCAGTTTGGCTTCTGCATCATGTTTCTGCAGTATGCCTCGTCCATGCTGGCGTCCCTGTTTGAGCAGAAGTGGGTTTACCCAGCCTTCGTCGCCATCAGCACCGCCGTTGTGACGCCCATGACGTTTATCTCGAACAAGCTGCATCTGCTGATGTACGCCTCGATGTTGGCGGGCATCTTTGCGGTGATCATATTGGCCGGCACCACGGTGGTGGACGTGCAGCACATCTCTTCGCAAGGCGTCGCCGCCGGCGTTGCCGCGGCGGTACCCACCGCCCGCCTCATCGTTTTCTTGTCGGGGCACATGTTCTCCCTCGAGGGGGTCGGAATTGTGCTGCCGGTGGAGAACAGCCTGCCGCCGGAGAAGCGTGTTCAGTACGGTCATCTCCTGCGCTACACGCTCGTGTCGCTCGTTCTCTTTTACATCTTCTTCGGCGTGCTGGGCTACATCGCGTACGGCGAGAAGCTGCATACGTCCGTCGTGCTCGCGCTACCCCCCAGTGCAGTGAAGCGGCTGCTGCAGGTGCTGCTGGGACTGAGTTTGATCTTCGGCTTTCCAATTCAGTACGTCCCGGCAATCCAAATCGTGGACAAGGCCTTCAAGGTGAACATCAACGAGGACAAGAAAAAGGCGTTCTCGCTGCGTCTCGCACTGAACGTAATCTTCGGCGCCCTCGCCATCGTGCTTGGCGCCGACACGATCAACATCTTTGCCAGCTTTCTTGGCGCCTTCGCCGGGGTGCACCTCATGATCACGATGCCCACTCTTCTCGCCTTGCAGGTAGAGCACGCGCTGAACGGCGACAAGGACAACTATGAATACAAGGATTACCTTTTATTAATGTTTCAGGGTCCCTACACGCTCCGACGCTGCAACTACTATCTTTACCTGCTGCTGGCGTTGGCGATTTGGATCGGAGGGCTTTACTTTACCATTGTCTCCGTTTTTGTGTACGGCACTGTGTGAAGGATGATGTGTATGTGCGTGTCTGTGGGTGCTTGCACAACGTCAACCGCATTCATTTGAGCTTCGCGGGTGTTCTGGCCCTCCCCTTTCCCTCTCCGGTCGTGCTTTCGATAGCGCTGTGGAAGCCTTCTCACGTTTCGTCTACAACTATTTTCATTAAGACGCGTAGATGGACGTTTTGTCCGCTTTAAACCGCTGATCCCTTTTTTTTTTCGTTATAAGCGAAGTTTGTCAGGAGAGTAATGAAGCATAACGTGACAGAAACAGTTCTCCTTTTGGTTCAGTGGTGCACGTACGTGTTGTCCGTTCTTTTTTATTTCTTTCTCTGCCGCGTTGAGGCGGGCCAATTCGTGGAACAGGCGACGGTGCGACGGTTTTCAGCGGAATCTGTCAGGACTGCTGCTGGTTGGGTTTCTCTTTTCTTTTCTTTTTCTTTTCCGCTCATCGCATTCTTTGTAGACGTACGCGTGGCTTTCGTTTAGCGGTACATGTCAACTTCTCCATCTATGACACCTTGTTATCACATACTTTTCCCTTCCTTTCCGTTCTCTCTTTTCAAACTGCTTCTTTTATCTCTTGTCGCTCTTTTTTTTTTCTCTGTTTCGCATATGCGAAGCGAGCGAGCAGGGAAACGGTGTTCTGCGCACTCACGCTTCGTGCCACCAGCAGGCGGTGGGGTGTCTTCGTCTGTGTCCCTGCACAGTCGTCCCACCCGATGACTGCGTGACTGGTTACATTTTTTAAATTTTGTTTGTTTGTTTTGCTGTTTTGTGCGTTTCCGCAACCACGTTTACCTTTTAGGGAATTGCTTCTCATGAATGGAAAGAAAGACAAGGCGAACGTACAACACGAGGACGCTCGCTTGTTTTTGAATCTTTTGGTTTAGCAAGCAACACCTGCACGGTTGACCAGGAGGTCCATTTCAACTGCGGAGTAAATATATACATTCTTTGCGGCGGTTAAGTTTTCAAACGTAGAAGAATTCCCGTAACATCAGGTGAGTGTCTGACTTGTTGCAACACTGATGACAAAAACGTCCCAGAGCTGCGCGTAGCTTACAGCTTCGCGGCCGCAGCAGCAATCGGAGCGCCGAAGATGACGTTTCTTTTTATCTGCTCAGTGCTCCCGTCAAGAGCGCTTTTCTCCCTCTTTCCGAGCTCCTTCCCCCCCCCCCTTTCGTTTCCTTCTCCATTTTTGTTCTGTGCCTCCGCTTTTATCTTCACTCTTTCCTTTCCTTTTCCTCCCCTTTCAGAGCATCTATTCTTGCAGATCATCTTCTTTTCTTCCTTTGGATACTCCATCAAACGCGGCTACGTTTTGTGGTTTTACCCATATTCGCCCTAGTCTTTCTTTGCACCCTTTTCCTCCGTGGTCACACGGAAAAGACACTTCTTTTCCCACTCTGACCAGATCGTACGGCGCAGCTGCCTGGCATTTCCACGGTTGTTGAAGTACGACACCGATACACCTTTTGGAAAGCCGTATTGAATATCTGTTCCACTGCGTTCTGGATCCGCGTCTCCGCTGCCTTTTTTTTTCCTTTTGCTGTTCCGCACGTGAGCAACAGCAGCAAAACCCAGAAGTAAACACAAAAAAGAACAGGAAAAAGATGGCCGACACAAACAGCTCTGCCAACACGAAGGCGAAGCTGAACAAGCTCATCGTGGAGGAGCCCTACAACGACGACAACAGCGTCGTCTCGATGAATCCGAAACGGATGGAGGAGCTCAACATCTTCCGCGGCGACACCGTCATGGTTAAAGGCAAGAAGCACCGCAGCACCGTGTGCATCGCCATGGAGGACGAGGAGTGCCCGCCGGAAAAGATCAAGATCAACAAGGTGGCCCGCCGCAACATCCGCATCCACCTCGGCGATACGATTCGCGTGGCGCCGTGCAAGGATGTTCCGTACGGCAATCGCATTCACGTGCTGCCCATCGACGACACCGTGGAGAACCTCTCCGGCGACCTCTTTGAGAACTTCCTCAAGCCGTACTTCCTGGAGTCCTACCGCCCCGTGAAGAAGGGCGACTGCTTCATTTGTCGCGGTGCAATGCGATCGGTCGAGTTTAAGATAGTGGAAGTGGACCCGGGCGACTACTGCATCGTGTCTCCGGACACGATTATCCACTCCGAGGGCGACCCCATCGTCCGCGAAGACGAGGAGGCCCTCGACGGCGTGGGCTACGACGACATCGGCGGCTGCCGCAAGCAGCTGAACCAGATTCGCGAGATGGTGGAGCTCCCGATCCGCCACCCGGAGCTCTTCAAGAACATCGGCATCAAACCCCCACGCGGTATTCTGCTCTACGGCCCACCGGGCAGCGGTAAGACCCTCATCGCGCGCGCCGTTGCGAACGAGACCGGTGCCTTCTTCTTCCTGATCAACGGACCGGAGATTATGAGTAAGATGGCGGGTGAGTCGGAGAGCAACCTGCGCAAGGCCTTCGAGGAGGCGGAAAAGAACGCGCCGGCGATCATCTTTATTGACGAGATCGACTCCATCGCCCCGAAGCGCGAGAAGGCGCAGGGCGAGGTGGAGAAGCGTATTGTGTCGCAGCTTTTGACGCTCATGGACGGCATGAAGACCCGCTCGCAAGTGATCGTGATGGCTGCGACGAACCGGCCAAACACGATTGACTCTGCGCTGCGCCGCTTTGGCCGCTTTGACCGCGAGCTGGACATTGGGGTACCGGACGACATTGGCCGTCTGGAGATCATTCGCATCCACACCAAGAACATGAAGCTCTCCGAGGACATCGACCTCGAAAAGATCGCGAAGGACTCGCACGGCTTCGTCGGTGCGGATCTTGCCCAGCTATGCACCGAGGCGGCCATGCAGTGCATCCGTGAGAAACTCTCCGTCATTGACTGGGAGGACGACACCATCGACGCGGAGGTGATGAATGCGATGTGTGTGACGCAGGAACACTTCCGCGAGGCGATGACCAAGACGAACCCCTCTGCGCTGCGCGAGACGCACGTGGAGACGCCGAACGTGACCTGGGAGGACGTCGGCGGCCTGCTGGACGTCAAGCGCGAGTTGCAGGAGCTGGTGCAGTACCCAGTGGAGTACCCCTGGAAGTTCGAGAAGTACGGCATGTCTCCGCCGAAGGGTGTCCTCTTTTACGGCCCCCCTGGCTGCGGTAAGACGCTGCTCGCCAAGGCGATTGCGACGGAGTGCCAGGCCAACTTCATCTCCATTAAGGGCCCGGAGTTGCTGACGATGTGGTTTGGCGAGTCGGAGGCGAACGTCCGCGACGTCTTCGACAAGGCGCGCACCGCCGCCCCTTGCGTGCTCTTCTTCGACGAGCTCGACTCCGTAGCCAAGTCCCGCGGCGGCCACGGCGACGGTGGCGCCAGCGACCGTGTTATCAACCAGATTTTGACGGAGATGGACGGCATGAACGTGAAGAAGAACGTCTTCATCATCGGCGCCACCAACCGACCGGACGTGCTCGACCCCGCTATTATGCGTCCTGGCCGTCTGGACCAGCTCATCTACATCCCACTGCCCGACAAGGCGTCTCGCGTGGCCATCATCAAGGCAAGCTTCCGCAAGTCGCCGCTCGCGTCGGACGTGGATGTGGACCAGATCGCCGCCGCGACCCACGGCTTCTCCGGCGCTGACCTGGCTGGTGTGTGTCAGCGGGCGTGCAAGATGGCCATTCGCGAGTCCATCAACAAGGAGATTCAGCTCGAGGAGCTCAAGAAAGCGGGCCAGTTAGACGAGAACGCTGACATCGACCCCGTGCCGGAGATCACGCGTGCGCACGTGGAGGAGGCGATGCGTGGCGCGCGCCGCTCCGTGTCGGACGCGGACATTCGGCGCTACGACATGTTCCGGACGTCGATGCAGCAGAGCCGCGCGTTTGGCAACACCGCCGCCCCCGCCCCGGATGCCGGGGCTGGCTCGTCCACCGGCGCTGGCGCCGATGCTGGCAACAGCGGCGCTGCCCCTGAAGACGACGACGACCTTTACAGCTAAGATGGAAGGTGCTTTTTGATTATCATTATTATTATTAGTTTTTTTCTCTGGTGGTGGCAGTGCGGATGGGAAGGTGTTGGAGTGTGATAAAATGGCCGTGGATTTTTTTGTTGTTGCTCTTGTTTTTGTGTGCTAAATGAATGTTTGAGTAGGACGTGCAAGTTACTCCTGCAAAGAATAATAATAAAAGAATGGATCCCAGCTCGTGAAATGACTTCACAGAGTTTCTCTAAACAAACTGTTGTTGTTGTTTTCCGCTTGATTCGCTATCCTTCTTATTGTTCTTATTACGATGTTCTGTGATGTTTTCTTCTTAATGTTTATTGGGTGTGTTCTGTCTTCATTGCATCCAAGTGGATTGGGACGGTGGGTGTGCTACATTCAGTTCGCCGTGTTCTCTTTTTTGTTGTTTTTCTTCACAAGTCTGTGCTGGGAGGTGGTCGTGTTTTTTTTTCTTTATTTTAACAAATGTACGTGTTTCCAAACTCTCGTCGCCAATTGGAAGGAAGAGAACGACGAAAAGTGAGGTCTGTATCAGTGTTCGCCTTTTTTGAGCGCTGATTCGCCGATAAAATCCATTTACGCTCTCATGCCCTCCTTCTCCTCGGCAACGGAAACGTATGGCACGTCGCGTTTCCATTATTACTGTTACTACTACTCCGGCCGTCTTGATAAAGCGTTGATTTTCGTGTCTGTGCTTAGGACCTTTTTGCATCTCTTGTTCTCCGCGTGCAAGGCCGAAAAAAAAAAGCAGAAAAAAGGAGTGCCGTTTCCGTGTTGGCGGCGCCAACGTTTGAGAGCATCACCGCCCTAATGGTGGGATATCCTTTGAGGCTTCTCTGAAAGCCTTGTGCTGATACCAGCGAAGTCTACGACTGGGGCGCTTACATCTACGCACTCGACAAAAGCGTTCTCGCGTGTGACGTTTGAGCCGCCCCGTAGATGCTAGGTTTTGCATGTCGCAAAGTGTTTACCTCAGGGAAGGCGTGCTTTTCAGGTATCAGTCCCACTCTCTCCTCTCTCACCCACTCCTTCAGTCTCCTTTCTTTACTTCTCATTATTGTTGTTTTCACATATTTTACGCAGCTCTGGTGTGGCTTGTTGGCTTAAATGTAGCTGCCTGGTTTCCTTTTTCGCGCTGTTGACTTTGTTTTCCATCTTTTTTCAAGTGCTGTTTTCCTCTTCAGCAGTCGTTCTTTTAGTTGTTGTTGGATTTCTCCGTCTCGCGACGTTCCTTTCCTTTTTTCTTTCTTTGTTTGTCGTACTGCCTGCATCGACGCCCCATCGTCATTCTGAACTTGATGGATTGACGAAAGGACTTCTTTTTTGGTTTTTGTGCCGGAAACCACAAAAAATTCTTCAAAAGAACTACTGTAATATTGTGTTGCTTTCATTGTCTGTGTGGATTTTACACACACACGCACACGCTGAGTTTTTTTTAATGCATAATCATTTCAAAGTACTTTCTTCATTCTGACTTTCCCTTTCCATCAGTGTCAGCTGAACGTCGCGTGCTGCCGATACGTGTTCTCTCCCCACCCGATCACAAGTCTAACGTTTGGTGGTAAGTGGGCAGTGACAGCCTCTTTGACATCTCACCTTTTCTTTCTTTCATCCTCACGTATACACTTGCGTTGTAATGCCTCTCTTTATCATTCTCTTCGGTGCCCCTGGCAGCGGGAAGGGTACGGTGAGTGAGCGGCTGGTGAGGCAATACGGCTTCGTGCACCTCAGCGCGGGAAACCTGCTGCGCGAGGAGGTGCGGGCGAAGACGCCACTGGGTCTCCAGTGCAAGGCGATTATGGCAGAGGGCAACCTGATCCCGGACGCGCTCGTGGTAGATCTCGTGTGCAACCGCCTAAGGCACCCCAGTGTGCAGGAGAACGGTGTCTTGCTGGACGGCTTCCCCCGCACGCTGCGCCAGGCCGAGGAGCTCTCTCGGCGCGGCTTCAAGTTTGACATGATGGTGTTTCTCGATGTGACGCCGGAAGTCTTGCTAAACCGTTGTCTGTCCCGACGTCTGGATCCGGTGACGGGACGCATCTACAACCTCAAGAGCGACCCGCCGCCGGAGGACATCGTGGACCGTCTGCAAATCCGCTCCGACGACACCAAAGAGAAGCACGAACACCGCATGACGATTTACAATAAGCAGAAGGAGGCGCTCATCAAACACTACGATGGCATCATTGTGGAGATCGATGCCGACCGCGATATCAAGGCCGTGTTTAAGGCACTGCGAAGGGAGATCAACACAGCGTTTCAAAAGAAAGGGCGCGCCATGGCGATGTCGAAGCTGTAGTGGTGGCCGCAGATGCGTGTAAGGAAGAACTGCCGCTCTGCCAACAATCGGGGAACGCGTTTGTTTTGAACAACCACGTAAGAGTCTTGCTCTGCTTGTTTGTTCTCCTTCTCCACCGCAGTGAATCTCTCGCGCCCTCACTTGGTGCGCAGCTTGACATTAAAAATCTCTTTAATTCCGTTTGTGTGTGTGTGTGTGTGTTGGTCTCTTCACTCTTACATATTGATATACCTTCAAAGAACTCCTAACTTGTGTTTTTTACGATCGCTCCAAAACAAAACAAAAAACGGAACAAAATGCACTTCAAAATCATCGCTGCAGGGAACGGCAAGAAAAAAATGAAGGAGGAGCAGAACAAAGAAAACCTTTGTGTGTGCGTGTGTGTGTGAGTTCTTGTGGACGTTTGTTGTTGTCGTTGTTAATGTGTGTCTTGGCCTTTCGCTGAAACACGGAGTTTCTTTTTGGCGAGGACAACGCCGTGGCTGTGTGTTTTCTTTCCGTTTCTCTTTCTATACTGCTCTTCTTTCGCTTTTTCGATCGCTCAGAGGTGGTTCCGTCGCTTCCTTTTCATGTTTGTTGACTCCTACTGTTCGTGCTACTTTCACCTTCGCTTTCTTTCCCTTTCCCTTTTTTGTTTGGCATCAAAAGTATGTTTTGAGGCTGGTGTTGCTTCGAAAAGGAAAATCCTCAAAAGATAATTTGTAAGATCCTTTTTGCGTGTGTGTGTGTGTGTGTTTCTTTTCCCAAAAGGCTTGTGTATCTAACGGCGTTCTCTTACTCTTGTTAGTATCGTTCTTTCTGCGAGTGAGACCAAATGTCATCTCTGTGCCCCACTTCTAAGTTTGTGGGGCGCCGCAGCTCCGTGCTCTTACTGTGTGCATGAAGCAGGACGAGTAACTCGTGTCTGAAGCCACAGAAAGAAAGCTGTTGCCGAGAAAAAGCAAACAAACAAAAGACGAATAAGTAATCGGCATGCAGCGGCTACACCGATACCGCATAAGATGAGGCGATATTCTTTGGTATCCTTTTTGTCGCTCTCGGAGCGTTTCTTTGGGGGTGTCTTCTTCTTTCCCTGTCTCCACTCGTCTCTGCTCCGTCACAAACACGTTTTCTTCCTTTTTCTTCTTTAATCATTTTTTTTTCCTTCTTGTTTTTGTGTCCATTCTATCTTCCTCTCCTTTTCCTTCTCGAGACATCTACCAAGAAGGACACCGTTGGCGGAAGTAGGAGTTTTTGGTAGATGTTCGCAAACCGGCGTGTACATGAGTTCTCTTTTTTTCTTTCTGCGTAAAAACGTTTTCTTTCTCTTTTCATCTGGCTGCTGGGAAATTTTCTTTACGATTTAGCTCGCTTCTTAGACCCGCAAGAAAAGCAAAGCTCGTCTATCTTCTGGTGTCACTACGGGGGATGTGCCAGGCGGATGGATCAGTTCGAGTGACTGGGAACGGAAGTAAGGGTGATGAGCGTGAGGCGCTGTTTCTCCTCTTCCATCGTTTTCCCTTCTGCGCGTTCTTGCCTGCTTTTCTCCTTCCCTTCATCTCTCGCTTCGCCGTTGTGATGTAGTGTATGCGGTCAAGATTACCTGGGTTGTGTGATGTGCGTTGGGTGTTGTGCTGTGTATGTGGACGACCTCTCGTCTCGTGGTGGGCGGGACCCATAATGTAAAAGAAAACGAAACGTTCGATTTCAAAAAGCCCAACAACAACAAAAACACAAGTAAACGCCGACGGCATGAGGGATCGTCGCAGCGATGAATTCAACCTGCGCGTATGAACTCGTCGTTGCGAGCTTTTTGTGGGGACAAGGACAGGTGCTCACACAGGTGGGGAAGAGAAAAGGCTCTCTGCGTCAACGTTGAGGGTTTTTAGTGGAAAGCACAAACTTTTATCTCTCTCTCAACATTTTCCGTACAGAAGGGCTGGGTGCGGAGCTGCGTCCGTGTTCTCCTCTTTTCTACACCAACGCTTTCTCTCTTTTCTCATTGCTTCTTTCGCAAAAGTCTGTCTGGTGTCTGCGCTTTTCCTCTGTCTTCACAAAGTCATTTGTATGATTTTGAATAGTTTTCCTTTTGTGCCTATTCCTGTGGCCTTCACTGAGTAGAAAGATTATCATTACCGCCACACCAGCAACAACAATAACAGCAATATAGAGCAGTCCTCGGAACACGTGGCCGCAGCAATAGCCACCACGACTTCTTCTTGATTCGGCCTCATAGCTCCGTTTATTAAAGAGAGGAAAAGAAAACGTTTAACGCGCAACAGCAAGCAGGTATTTGCATGGTGCTTGCCACTTTCACGGGTTCTCTGCCGTTTCCCATCCGATGCGCCGGTTCATGTCGTGGGTCCTTGTACTCTTTACCCTTTCCGTCGCTCTCCTCGTTGGCTACCACTACTCTGGCGCACCTTTGAAGGCTTCACCGCCCAACACAACCACTTCCACCCCTATCAGCATTAAATCCACCTCGTCACTCTCCTTCGCCATGTCTGCTCCCACGGCCACTGCGGCTTCCGCGAAGCTATACCCGGCCCTGTACCTGTGCCACGGCGGCGGTCCGATGCCGCTGCTGGGTGATCCGGACCACGTGCCCATGGTCACCAAGTGGAAGGAGCACGCCAAGGACATCGTCGCACGCTACGGTGCGCCGAGGGCGATTGCGGTGGTGTCGGCACATTACCAGACCGCTGCGCCGGAGATTGGCGGGTGCCAGCAGCCGGAGATGTACTACGACTACGGCGGCTTTCCTCCCGAGGCGTACGCGATTCAGTACCCCGCCCCCGGTGACCCAGAGCTGGCGGCGCAGATGGTGTCGCAGCTGCAGAAGGAGGGCCTCTACGCCTCCCTCAACCCGAAGCGCAAGTTTGACCACGGCGTATTTGTGCCGCTGATGATCATGTTTGGGAACGCGTCCATCCCGGTCATCCCGGTGTCGGTGCTGCGCTCCAACGACCCGGCGGAGCACATCAAGATGGGCCAGGCGCTGCGCTCCTTCCGCGAGCAGGGCGTCTTCTTCATCGGCAGCGGCTCCACGATGCACCACTTCGATCGCTTCGGTGTGCCGAACGCCGGCAAGCGCTTCGGTGACGCCATCACGGCCGTGTTGCAGGACAGGTCGATGTCGAACAAGGAGCGTGTGGCGAAGATGAGCGGGATCACGTCCTTTGACGGCTTCTCCGATGCCCAGCCGCCCCGTTACCACGAGCATTTGATGCCGTTGCTGACGTTGCTGGGGACGGCAGACGGCGCACCCGGGCGCGAGGTGGCGAACATCCCTTTCTACGCCGCGAATGTGCGCCACTACATCTTCGAAGAATAAGAGAGGAGGGCAGTGTGACGGAAAACGTTGTCGCTGCTTCGTCACAACGCACGCCAACACACACACACACACCGCGACGTCTCCCCCACCTCACGAGCTACACGAACATGTGTACGGACAGCGAGCGAAGGCGGCTTCACATTTCACTTATTTCTCTTCTACTACTACCACTACCAGGTACCGCCGTTGCACGCTCGCTGTTCCGCTTGCTGTTCTGCCTGCTGGCACCGCCTCGGTTGCGTTTCATTATTATTATTATTATTATTATTATTATTATTAGTTTTGCTTGTCTTGTTTCACACCTTCTTTCACAATTCATCCATCTGTGCTTTTCTTTTTCCTTTTCTCTTTCCCAAGCTGCCCTTTCATTAGTCAAAGCTGTGAAGGAGAGCGTCGTCGAGTGGCGTGAGAGACGTTTCAGTTCCTTATTTGTCAGTTACCATTCCACACTTATTATCACTTTGCCTTCCATGTGGAATACTGGAAAGTGAAGTTTGGTTTTCTATTTGTGTTGTCCTACTCGCCTTCCTTTGGAGGCCGACCAAAACAAACAAACAAGCAAGCAAAAACGAATCGACTATGTTCCTGAAGGGGTCAGCCCGTGTGGTGTTCGGTTGGTGTGTGCTTCGCTGCTCTGCCCGCCCCCGGCGTTCCCCTTTCCCCGCGCCCGCGGCCCTTCGCCCGCC